CATTAAATTCTTCATTTTGGAGTCTGATGGTGATGTAACTCCTTTCTGGTGCAAGATAGCATGCTACAGTTAAAAAAAAAAACAAACAAACAAACACAAAACAATGAAAATATTAATGGAATGTTATAAAGTGATATTATTTTATTGGCTGATGCTAATAAAGCATTTTCACAGTGTTTTCTTCTAAATACACAGATGAGAAGGGGAATTGAGAAGAAAAACTTGAGATCTTAATAGAGACAAGAGAGGTATGGATAAGTTTAGGGTTGTGACTGTATACAGAATTGTGTTTTTCTGCCTTATTTCTCGGTTGCTTTTTAAAAACATGATTAGACCACTTCTGTGATTGTGTGGGTGTATAACATGGTGTACTACAGAAAGAAGCTGTGAAGAACCACAGTTAATCACTGTACTACATTTTTTGCTGTTTCCAGTAATAAGATCTGCATGCATATGTGGCGTGTGAAACTAAATCATCTGCACTACTGAAATCTATGAACAAAAAGATCGAGTTGTAGGAGAACTGTGGGCCTTATCTCTTGTTAATTGTTCCAGCACAAGCAGCCAGGGGGTTTCCTGCTGTCACTGCATTCCTTTAAAACCCAAGAGGAGATAGAAGAAAAGAATAAATTGTGATTGCATAGTTGATCCAACTCTGTCTGCATTGAAGGTTTAGAAGAGTATACTTAAGTTTAACGGTTGGATACCTGCTGCATCAGCTGAGGTGCAGCTTCAGCATATTTATTGCTAGTGTGTCATCATCCATCTCTGGTTTTAGTGGAAGTTTAAGGTACTCAGTACTACGTGCAGAGAAGTTGCCATCCCATAACTTTGGTAATTTAAATTATAGTTTTACTTCGTATTGAATTTTCTGTGTAGCACAATATGCAATATATTTTGGCATCTAATTATATAATCTGATAATAAATTAAATTGCTGATTGAGAAGGAAGAAAAGCCTAGTATGTTCTTCCTGTAATCTCAGATTGATGCAATTTAAGATAATTTTTCATATCCATTTACATTAAAAAAAGAAGGGTTATTTGAGTGTAAAGGCCATGGTCAGGAAATTATAGAGTATTGCATTAATTCTGGAATCGCTATATTAAATTAGCCATTTATGGTCTAGAGCTGTAGCTTCTTCTGTAATAGCAAATATTCGTTAGCTGTCGTGAGAGTTTCAGATGGCTGTGACGATAATTTAGGAGTGGTAGAGCATTGCATTGAGGTTCTGAAGTGGCTTTGTAGTTCTTACAGTGGTGGAAGAATTTGATTTTTAAGCTAAAACTTAAAACTGTGTTGAAATTTGATTGTGTGGGTGGAACTGGGTTAGTTAAATCCTTGCCTGGTTTCCCCATTGATAATGTTTGACTTGTGAGTTCGTAATACTAGGTGGGCTGTGCACCCAACTCTGTTATGGCACCATCAAGGAATTACGTTGGTGAATTCTTGTAGCTCTGCGAGAAGAATGTTAGTTGTCATCATCTCCAAGAATTAATACTGTAGATTTAAAGACAGGTTTGAGAGAAGTAGGTTTGAGCATATAATATGGGGAGAAAGCGTTGAAAGGATAGTGACACTAGGTGATACAAGTTCTTTGGTTCTTTTGTATTCTCAGTTAAGTTGAAACCTCCTTGGGGTGGATCCATGACTTTCTTAAATTTGCCATCATTGCAGACTGTTTGTTGCTTCCTTCACTTGAGGATTTCAGGAGTATAAAAGAAGGAACAATTTCTGCTCCCTTCCATAAATTGTGTTTTCCAAGATTTTCTTCTTTCTCTTTAAGATTATTTGTTACTCTGTTTTGTATTATTTCACATAAAAAAAACCCCCAAAACTGAAGACAAAATTATACCCACCTGGCAAGTGTCTTGGCCTACACAGAGTAGGAATTCTGCATCATCTGCTGAAGCAAAGGCATTTAACACAATCATAAAAACGGAGGCAAAGCCGCGTAGCACCAGAACTGACTTCTCGTCACATTGTCTCACCATGGTGGCTCTGCTGGGCTTGAGTGAGGTCTGGAGCACCCCTTTCCCCGTGCGGAGAGCAGCAGGGTGGCCCTGCAGCCTGGCCCTGGCCCTGACCGAGTGCCAGCAGCCCCCTCTCCATGCCGCCCTGGTTTGGTACCGAGGTTGCAGCGCGCTCTCTTCGGGCGAGCCGCAAGTGTTGCAGTAATCGTGGTAGCTGGCGTTAAGATGCTTTGTTCTGATCAATTCTTAGTGTCTTTTATCATGGACTCTAGTGCCTGCCATTGATAGAGCTTCGTGTTTCAAGAGAAATTAGTGTCAGGTCTACTGCAAAGTTTAGTTTACTTCTGGACTAGTGCGGTAGTGTGAGTTCCGTTAGGTCCTGGCTCTTTCTGGCGCCCTTGGTTCTGGCTTACAAGTATATCAGAGATTTCAGGCACTTCAGCCATTTATTCTTACAGCTGGGCTTATTTTATTACTCGCGCTGCTTGACTGTGTTAGCTCTTTATTGTCATATGTCTCATTGCAGTAGGGTTGTCATAAATATTTTGTACCACAAAGTACTTGGAAGTTTATCTTATTTTGGATTTAGGTGCGCAGACCTAAACCAGAATCTTCCAGTAGGTTAGGGGTCAACTTTTTATGAGATCCAGAAGAGCAAAATGAAGGTTGTTATACAAGAGTAAAAGGGTTTTTTTTGAGACTTACTCTTAAAAGCATTTGTACTTCCCTATTCATCTCTGCACCACCCAGTTCCAGGTTGAGCTCTTAGTCTGCATTCACTTACCACAACTCCTAAACCTCTTCTTTTTCTGTGTGATACTCCCACTTCCGATTCTTGGGTATGAGAGGGCAGGAAAGTACAAGGTTTTAGTCTTGTGCAACAGATATATTTATTTTTTTTTTAAGCCAGAGATTTTTCACCTATGAAAGCCTTGCTCTCGGTGTACCCTTGCTGCTTCTATGGAGTTGCTTCATCTATTTCATCTTCTTAACAGTCTTCTGGGTTGCAGCAAATGGCAAAATAATTCAGAATCCCCACACTTTAATGCTCAGTAGCGATGCAGATAACATGGAAGAATGCTAATACATCCTTCTCTCTTGTATTTTATGGAAACACTAGCAAAGAAGTGTTACATGCTTTCTCTTTCATTGAAAGAGTTTGTGTAGCTGTACCTTATGAACGAGATTCAGCATCCTCAAGACAGATGTGATACCATGGTAAAATTGAATTTAGTGAGAAGCTCAACATTTACTTTCCATGTATAAAAATTCTTGGATGTAATTGGAATTTCATTTTAATGAATGTGAGACTCTCAGAAGTAAAACCTTAAGACTGACATGGCTGTGTTTCAAGGTTAGAGGAACTGGTGTAATTTTAAAAGACTGAGGAAAATAGGCAAGTGTGACAAAAGAGAAATTGGGAAACAGAGGCCCCTAAGCATTAAGGGGAATTAGAAGAGCTGAAGCAGCAAAGCAGTTGTCAAAAACAAAAGAAGGAATATCAGGCTAAAGATGTAACAGTGAAGGATCCCAAAGGGTTGGTGGGTCTGTTCTGTCAGAAGCTTTAAAGGATCAGTTTTCTATCAGTGGGATAGTGCAGATAGCTGCGTAGGACCAGCTTTTCCCTAGCAGCAGAAATGAGGCAGCACAGAAGGGACGGTGAGGGAAGATGAGATTTCTAGAATAACCTGACAGTTTTGAAATAAAACGTCAACCGGTATGAATAATACAATCCTATTGCTGGAATGGTGAGTAGAGATGTCAGCACAGAAGTCTATTGAGCACTGTTGTTCCTTCAGTATCACGGCAATGAGACGTTGAAATAAGTTGGCCTGTCTGAAGCTTAGCTGTTGCCTGTTCTGCACTGTGCCTTCAAATCTAACTGAGGGCTGATTAAATTTTCTATCAGGCCTTTTGTCAGATTAAAATGAAATAGAGAGGTTCATACACAGCCACTGGAAGAGAAAATCAGCTTCGACACTTTTGTTCTCTAAATTTAGGCATTACGCTGCTTTTTGAAAACTTACCTATAATTAAACATAATGTTCAATTAAATTTACACATTAGAATTTGTTTTGAAATATCTGATACAAAACTGTGAAAGACCCTGAAAAATTGTTACTCCCAATCCAGTCCACACCTTTCTTTGATGCAGCTCCACACATCCATAATCACCAATCTTGATAATTAGTTAAAGAGTGTACAGACAGGGGTAGAGCAAAGGGGACTGGTTTGTGCATGGCTGCCAGTGTATGTTGTTATGGTAAGGCCTGTTAGTGATAGCACATGGGCGCTATTGATGGCCCACTTGTACTTCTACAAACAGCAACAATTTGCTTAAAGAAAAGCTAACTTCTTGACAAAGTTTCTGCTTCTAGGTAATAAATTACCTGTAACTAGGTTCAGTTGCTTACTAACACTGTTCTATTGGTTTGTTACTGTGGCCTGATGCTACAGCTGGGACTGCAGGTGAGGTCTTACTGTCAGTGAGCTGTTACCCTATGGAGAGAGTCTAGTAAAACTGTGAAAGTGTTGTAATGTTCAGTTTGCAGTGGGGAAGCAGAAGGTTTAGGCAGTTCTTGTGCTTACTGCTGCTGGAAACAAAGTAATTTCAGAAGTCTGTACCCCTGCATGCTGAAGATAAGTAGATAGCACTTTCCACTTAAATTCTGCAGAACGTAAACAGCACTGTTCCAGGCCAGGCAGTAACCAAAGACTTAGATAAAAAGAAACAAATGTTTAAGTCCTGACTAAGAATTACTGACTTGTTGGGGTTCACTGGAATGTGTAATGCTTTGGATTACTGTAGGACTACTTCTGGATAGAAACGTTTTGAGGATTTTAGGTCAAACAAATGCATAAACAGAAGAACAAAGCAAAGTAAATTCTATGAAGTACTGCATGTTTTTTTTCTTGAAGTTTTGGATAAATACATTCCTGTGTTTGTCAGTGTGACACATTAATGCAGTAAAGCTAGTCAACACAATAATGCTGCTCACCATAAATTCTTATTTTGCTTTTATTGCAGTTATTTGTGAATGAATTTAGCTGAATATGGATCCAGGTGGTGGAAGTCTTGGATTGCAAACACAAGAATCCAAAATGCCTCACACTATGATTATGCAGGATTTTGGTAAACATTTTAACTATTAAATATATTTAGAAGGTTTTTTGCAATATGTCTGTAAATTATATCAACATGTAAAGTTGTCTAATATGCCATTTGCATGACTTTCTTGAGAAAATACGGTATTTAAGCTGGTGTATGTCTTTGTGTACTTTGGTTGCTGATACTGAAATAGTTGATTATTCCAAAATATTAAGCAATTCTGAAAAAAAACATAAGTTCAGTCCATGGCCCAGAGTGCTCTAGATAAGGCGGAAAATGTGATCTGGAGTCCAGTGGTTCTGTAGTGTGTGTACTTCTGCTTGAAATCATGGTGATTAGTGTTCCGTCTCCAACATACAGGAGATGTAAATAACATCCAGTACAGGATGTAAACAAGGTCTGAGCTTCTGTGTGCTTACCTTGATTGCTGTCTCCAGTTCTCCTTTAGGGTATTTCAATAAATGTGGTGGGAAATAATGTCTATGTGTGACAACTGATAACTTATTATGTAGACAACAATTTACAGATTTAGCTAAATCTGCACGTTCACGTGTGCTTGGAAATCTTCTGTCAAGAACATAAGCCCTGGGACTGTACTGATAGAAGAAAACTTGTTTCTAAATTGATTTTTTTTTTAAGTCACTACTCTTTCATTTGATGGCAGTGCTGAATAACCTCAGCAATTTTGAGGGTTTAGAGAATGCACAGCAAGAAATCTCCACTTTTTTTTTGTGGGTCTCCTATTTGCATTATGACAGGAGATGACCTTCTCAAGTATTGGGAAGGACCATGTTGTCTGATGTGACTTAAAATCCCTCAGAGTGTACCCAAAATAGTTGCATTTGCAGTACAATGGTGAATTTATTTTTTTTTTTTTCATTCTGATAACCATTTTCTTGAGAGTTTTATTCATTAAGCTTAAAACTACTATTTATATGTGTGTGTTAAAAATCATTCACTATGCATTCTGGTTTATGTATAGAAAAGTAGTCTGCAGATATGACTGCCCAGTCAAGTCTGTTAATGAAAAACAGGTTTCTGCTTCTAGCCATTCCTTGCAACGTGGCAAGTTGTTGGAAACTCTAGTATAAATATTGCATACAACTGAGTATTTATTTTTAGCAAGACCCACACAGTCTAAAGAACGAGAGTCCTTTCATTGTAACAGCAATTAATGTATTGTTACCACACTTCCCATCTCGTGCAAGAATTCTGTGAAGGTTCGGATTGCTGCTGTAATCAAACGTTTTTGAACTGAAATTTCAGGATGACATTGCAAACTGGCCTGTGGTTTTTAACATGTCAGCATTGTAAAACCTAAATTTGGGGCAAACTCCACGTTATGTCTCAAAGGGGCATGTTTTGTTTTTCGTAATTTAAAAAATAGAGGGTGCTTTGGATCGTCTTCATTGGGTGAAATGCAGAAGTGGATTGTTGAAAAGTAACAGTTTTGCACATCTGTCTAACTTATGTATACAGTTATTCCATTCCTTAGATAAACTAATTGCTAATGTAATAATTTTAACATTTTTCTCCTCGTTCATGATTGTTTCATAGTGGCTGGAATGGCTGGCACTGCTCATATCGATGGAGACCATATTGTTGTATCAGTCCCCGAAGCTGTCCTAGTTTCTGATGTTGTTACCGATGATGGAATAACTCTTGATCATGGCTTAGCAGCTGAAGTTGTCCAAGGACCTGATATCATCACCGAAACTGATGTTGTGACCGAAGGTGTAATCGTTCCCGATTCTGTTCTGGAAGCTGATGTTGCTATTGAAGAAGCTTTAGATACCAGTGATCATGTTTTGACTTCTGATCTAATAACAGAAACTGTTAGAGTTCCCGATCAGGTTTTTGTGGCTGACCTTGTTACGGGTCCCGATGGACATTTGGAGCATGTGGTGCAAGACTCTGTGTCAGGAGCCAACTCGCCTACAATGGTTTCAGAAGAAGTTCTTGTAACAAACTCCGATTCTGAAGCAGTCATTCAAGCAGCTAGTACTGTTCCTGGCTCCACAGTGACTATTAAAACAGAAGATGATGATGATGGCAAGAGTACCTCTGAAGACTACTTAATGATATCTTGTAAGTTAAACAAAGGTAGATATAAACAGGAGATTAGCAGAAGTAGAAGTGGTCTGGTGGGGAGCAGTTCCTGTAACTGGACACCTGCTGCATTCTGTACTGGAACTCTCATAGTCTGTTGCCCAGTTAATTCTTGATGTCTGGATTTGGGTTTTCTTGATGAAAAATCCATTATCACTGCTACATCAAGAAAGAGGATGATGTGCTCTTGAGGAATGAGTGTGTATATTTGTGTTTCTGAAACTAGATACTCCTGAAAATTAAGAAAAAACACATAAGAAAGTTAAACATTCCACAGATTTTGAGTATAATGCTTTTTTTAAAAAATACACGGGTATATTACTATGTTATGTAGATGCATGTAAAAGTAACTTGTTGGGTTTAATCAGTAGAATCCAACAAAGAAGTAGTTTTTTTTAAGATACCTGACTCATAAAGTTTTCTCTTACGTGTCCAGAAAATATTGTTCAGCTGTATTAAAAATTATAATAGGCATTTTATTGTATGTTGTGCTGTTCTGGACTGAACTTGATGTTAAGGGGTTGTGTGCATTAATTGTTCAGCTGTCTAACGCTGGAGAGTGGCTGCCAATTTCAGTTTCCACGCAGCACTCAACTCTGATGAAGCTGTATGGTCCTATACTTCTTGTTGAGTGAAAGCTACTGGAAGGACCTTAAGTATATTATTCTTCAGTGGTTAAATTATATTCAAGATACCAGTTTTTATTGTTACACAGATTTGATAAAATGTATGATTTTAGATTTTAGACTTACCCAAATTAGTTACTGAAATGTGAGTAGGTCAAAACAGGTTTTATTTAGTTAGAAGCAATATGTTTAAAAAAAGGGCAATGCCAAGTGTGTCAAAGTGTCAATCTGTTCACAGAAAGCTGCATTTATTAAAAATTTCAAGACGGAGGACTTGACTGATTAGTGACTATGATGATTTCAATATTTTATAGCATTTATGTCCCTTACGCAAAATGTATTTTTGGTGTTTATTTTTAGTTCATTATAGGATGGACAGCAATGATTTTTTTTTTTAATCATCATATCGTTACTGTAATGTCACTAATCCAAGTCAAAAAAGGTTTTGTGGAAAAAGAACCAAAAAAACCTCGGTCTAAAAGAAAATTAGACCTACAACAGAAAAATTCCTGTGTGTTTGTAAATAAAAGAACACCATTTTTACAGTCAATTGTTTCATTGGAAAAATTCCTCCTTTCTGACAGAGTACTTACGATGAGTTGTATTCTGTAACTGCGGTATTTCCAACTGCACCTTTGTAATTGTAAGTAGTCATCTTTGGAATTCCTTCTAAGATAGACAAGTGTGATTGATAATGGTGATCACTGCACTTAGACCAGAGCATCTTAAACTTTCAGTAACCTGATGACCCCAGGTGTGTCTGATACATTTATAGTTTTGTCAGGTGTTCCCAAGCCTACCAATGGCTTCTGTAATGTTTCAAAGCCAGCTTGAGACCTAGTTTTCAGCAAATTATATTTATATCTATGTATAATCGTGATATGCCTGATAATCACAGTTGGAAGCTACATTATTAATCTAGAATTTTGTTTTAAGTAATCATTTTGGATAACTTAAGGCAATCTTAGAATTGTAGGATGGTTCAGGTTGGAAAAGACCTTTAAGGTCATTGAGTCCAGCCATTAACCCAGCACTGCCAGTTCTGCCACTAAACCATGTCCCTAAGTGCCACATCTCAGGTCTTTTCAATACCTCCAGGGGTGGTGACTCAGCCCCTTCCCTGGGCAGCCTGTTCCAGCACATGACAACCCTTTCAGTGAAGAAAGTTTTCCTAATAATATCCAGTCTAAACCTCCCCTGGGACAACCTGAGACCTTCTGCTCCTGTCCTGTCTTTTGGTACTTGGGAGAAGAGACCGACCCCCACCTCTGCACCCTCTGTCAGGGAGTTGTAAGGCCAGGAGGTCTCCCCTCAGCCTCCTTTTTCCAGGCTAAACCGCCGCAGCTCCCTCAGCCGCTCCCCACAGCGCTTGTGCTCCAGCCGCTGCACCGGCTGCGCTGCCCGTCCCTGGACACGCTCCAGCCCCTCAGCGTCTTCCTTGCAGTGAGGGGCCCAAAGCTGAGCCCAGCCATCGCGGGCGGCCTCACCAGTGCCCAGTACAGGGGGACGAGCCCTCCCCTGTCCCTGCTGGCCACGCTGTTCCTGACACAAGCCAGGATGCCGTTGGCCTTCTTGGCCACCTGGCACACTGCTGGCTCATAGTCAGCCGGCCGATGACCAGCCCCCCAGGTCCTTTCCACGGGGCAGATTTCCAGCCGCTGTGCCCCAAGCCCGCGGCGCTGTGTGGGGCTGCTGCGCCCCAGGCACAGGGCCTGGCACTGAGCCTTGTTGAACCTCGCACGACTGGGCTCAGCCCATCGATCCGGCCTGCCCAGCTCCCTCTGCAGAGCCCGCCACCCCTCGAGCACATCAGCCCTCCTGCCCAGCTGGGTGGCGTCTGCAGACTTACGATGGGGCACTCGATCCCCTCCTCCAGATCGGTGATAAAGATGAGGTCTCTTGCCTCTGTTAAGTTTTGAGGCTGTGTATGCCAGCTTGGCCCAACAAAGTACCTGCTATTGATTTTTTTTCTCAGGAAAAATTAATCAGTCTGACAGTGGTTAAGTTTTTGTTTGGATTTTTTTAAATGTTTTTAAATTAGTCTTGAATTTGTTACGTTTATGAAGATAATCTGTTGTGGAGAATAGATAAATTCCTTACTTAATTGAGCAGTTTAAAACCCTTTTTATTTACTTACCTTTTAAAATTGTCAAACGTTCAGTTAATATTGTAGAAAGTTAATTTTATGATAGTCCTTTTGGGGTGTATATATAGGACTGTTGAACTTTTTTATCATGTAAATCACATCAAAATGCTAGTTTTAAAAAATCTCAAAATACTTCTCTGTCTTTTAATAAAATCTAGCATCTAAAAAGGGGAGACTTTACATAAAATGACAGATAATGCCCTTAGGGAATACCACCAACTGTTCTGTGGAACACATTTTGGGAACTTGTAAAATACTACGTTTAAGGGTGTGAAGCTGAGCTGAGTGTGGAATTTTAACTTATCCTACTCTTTTGTTGGGAGTTACAGTTTAAATATACTGAAAGGTGATTTTTCACCGTTTTAAGATGACATTCCCATGTAGGTGTATTATCTGATACTGGTAATTATATCTTTGTGTAAGCACTATTTGGAAAATAATAAGTTTGCCTTGATAGTTCTGTGAACTAGCTGTGTATGGTTTTGTAATTGGAAATTTTCACTAGGAGATTGTTGCCATTCTGCTATCTCAGTGCAGATAAATTCAGCTTTTTTAAATCAGCCTTGTAAGCATAAGACTTAAAAACCTTTTTTGGACACATTCATAACCTCTGGCATGGGATATGTATGATCCCTTGTTTTAAATCTCCCAAGTACCTGTTTGAAAGGGACTTTTATAAAAAGGAAATTACTACAAAATGAATGTCTATAGTGTGATCGTGAACCCAGTCCATCTCATACTGAGGTGGGAAAATGCTGAGCAGTACGTCCCGTTTTGCCAGGCAGGAATGAGCACACGTGTAGCTTAAAGCATACCCTTTTTTGTTTTTCAGGTTTGCGATATTCAGACCCACAGCGGATTGCCAGCTCCCGATCCGTGTGTTGGCCCTGCATGCACTATGTTGGTGACCTCATACCCACCAAAGAACAACACTGGAGCTGGCCTTTAGGGGTAAGGTACTGTTCCACCACCACCTCCTTTTTAGTGTATTACAATGCAGTGTTACATCATTTGCTAAACATTTTAATATTAATACTCCTATATTGTAACCTATGGGATATAAAATAAGTATATCAGACATTAGGAAAAGATGAAAAATTGTAAAACCAAGGGACTTATCTTGCCCTCGTGTTATCCCTGTGGGCTCCTATGGTGGGTGTGCTATCACCAGCATAGTGCATGCTGAGGCATCACATGAAGTGGGAGCTGGCAATCCACGGTGAATCTGGACATCACACACCTGAAAACAGCCAAGTAAGGTAAGTTTAAAATTGGAAGTGTGCTGAGTTTTCCTTTAAACCTTGTTTATTCAGGAGGATTCAGCATATATTTATAAAGGTTCTCTGTTGTGTTTTTTCAGTTAATTTTAAGTGACGAGATAATAATATGTAGTGCTTCTGGTGGATGAGTCAGATCTGGAAGACACTTTCATATTCCATTGACATAAAGTAAGCATTCCTGTTCCTGAGAGCTATCACTGGGAAAAGTCATCAGATGATTTAGCACCGATGGGTTAGCTGTGATTTCAGTCATCTTACTTAGACAATAGAGTATTTTCACAATCTGCTTTTGAAAAAAGTCCTAATAATTTGTAACTTGACAAAGATTACATATCCTGCTGTGTTGATTGTTTTCCCCTTATATAAATGTGTTTAAAAAAGATTGAAACTGTGAAATTTATTTCATATAGGACAGTAATTTAAGCAGTAGCAATTGCCAGTTCGCTGTCTTTTGTTGAGGTATTTGAAACAAAAGGCAACATTTTACAAAAGACAGTCTATATCAGTATCATTTTCTCAGTTTATATTTTTCAAATTGTGTTATATTACACTTTTGGTTTTTTTAGAAAAGTGCTTCCAGAAGCCCTGGGCACAGAGGCTTCCTGATGTGTTTCCATTACTTCAGCTTAAATTGTAGAGACTGAAGAGCTTTGAAAATACACAGGATGGTTGATGCTGTGGGAATAACCACTAATTTTAAAAACAATGTTGTAAGTTTTTCCCTCCATGACAGGGCTTCACATTTTTTAAAGGATATTGAAGATTTGAGGGCTTTACTTGAAATGGTGAAACACAGCATGTGAGCATACATGCTATAGTCATGTATTTGACTTGTATCTTTTTGGCTGAAAATATTTTATTCTTATAAAAATTGCAGAATGCCTCATTTTTTTCTTTATGTAATCTTTGTGATATTGCAGTTGATATCCTGGTAAGGCAGCTATCTAAAATGGTGTGGTGTTTCCTTATGTTATTTCACCAGATACATACTGGTGTACAGTCATTGTCACCCAGTGTTACTTGGGAATTTTTGCCATAAAGAAAACTTCTTGTCACACATATATGTGATTACTGTTGATTAGGAAACTGCTGTTGTTAAATAACCTTCCAGTATGGAAATACTTATTTTTTGTGTTAAACTGATAATGCATTATGTTTATAAAATGTATGAGTTTAGACAAAGCTGGTGTTGCTGAGTTGCAGATTTGAAGATAAATCTACTACCACCTACTAATTCTAAAATTACAATAACAGCTTACAATTAGTGATGTCTTCCACACAGCCTTTAAATATTCTTTCTGCATTTTGGCAGCATGTCTAGTCATACAGCTATATATATAATCACTCCTGCCTTGTCCTGTTCGTTACCTCAAGTCCTTCAAAGACTCATGCAAGGATACATGCAGTGGAAATGCTCATTGTACGAAAATTAAATGTATGTTTATAATTTTGAAGCATGTGAATAAGAAATTTTTATAAATGTTAAAAGCCATGCAGAAAAGAAAATGATCATTAATAAATTCAAGCATAGTAAACGTATGGAAATACTTTTTTCCAGGATAAGTACCTTCTAGCATCTTCCCTTTTGCTGTTAGTAGATGGTGCATAATCCTTTCTTCCAGTAACTCCATTCTGGAAGCATAAAAACTTTCAATTAGCAGATGCAGTAACTCTCCCGTACAGGCTATAAAGATGGGCTAATAATGTGATGCTGGTAAATTTAAGTGTCAAAGGAGTATGCCAGGTTCTCTGGTGGCTTTCGTGTCTGTGGTGTTCATACTCTTAACGTTCTCATTGTCCTTAGGGAAATGTGAACACCATGCAGTACGTGTCAAGAGTCGAACAGATTAAGGTGTTGATGTTGCTGGCATTGATTTTAATAGAGATCTAGAATGCTTTTCACTCAAACCCCAAAACTTCTTTTCCTAAGGAAATTATTCTTTTTTTCTACTGATCCAAGTTTTGGTATTTTTTCAGCAATGCAATTAATCTCTTATTTACAAAACGAAAGAGCTAAACCATAGCATTTTAAAATGTTTGTTTAGTTTTTGTTGAAATACATCATTTTCAGAGGTTCTAAAATGAAATTTGTTCCTTATTTGTACTTAATTGGTGTCTAGTTCTGTTCTCAATAACTTCTATACTTTTCTGATGCAGTCCAAGATTTGTGCAATAGAAAGAAGTTTCATCAGTGCGGGGGTGAAAAATGGTGTTAGTTGGATAGGTGTTTCCGTGGAATCCTGTCCGTGAGTGGGAAGAGCTTAGTTCGGGATTGCTGTGGTGGATTCCCACCCTTGTGCAGGGAAGGCATCTGCTCCTTTTCTAGTAGGTTCTGACCCACTTTGCATGACTGCCTGGAGTATTAAAAGCTTAAACTGACTCGGGTTGACCTCAGTACAGCAGGCTGTAGCCTGAAGCAGTTAAAAGCAGCTCTTCAAGAGCACTCATGGCTGCGCTGAGGGCAGGAAGCTTAGAGGGGGATTGGGAACCACTGCAGCCATCCCGAGGTAAGCCAGCCCTTCCTCAGGATTGGAGCCCGCAGTGTCCCGCTTGGGTACACTCTATTCTTAGTCATGAAACACTGCTGTTACTTTAATACTAATTTTAATGATATTTTTTTTTGCCTAGTATGCACATATTTTAATGTTATATATGCAGTAAATTGCTGTTTCCGTGGAACGTATTTAATTCAGATTCTGTTTACATTTTTGTGCAATTCTCCTCTATTTAGAGGACTTCAGTGGGTGTTAAGCATTGCACAGGTTTGTGTTGGCCATCTGCACAGGAGCTAATTTTATCCACTGAGAGAAGTCTGTTGGCAATACATATCTCAGGAAGATGCTTAGCTCAGTGCCCTCTGTATTGGCCATTTGGGGTATATATATATGTGGATATCTATGTGAATACCCTTTTTACCAAAAACAGTGCTACTTCTAATAGTTTTAATGTAATTTTTGTTGTATAAATACAATGAGCATTTTTTATACAGAGTCCAAATAGTCAGAGTGACTAAGTTGCATACATAAAGAAGTCCATTTCAGCTAGTCGTATTTGGACTTACTGTCACTGCATCTTTTAATCAGCTGTATATTACGCAGTAATCTTCATTAATTTATGTGTTTTCAAGTGATAAAGGGGATAAAATCATCATTTCCTTTAGGGTGAAGATGTAGTCACATTTTTGTGACTGTTCTCACTATTCATAAGAGTTTCGGCTGCTAAATTTTTATCACCGCTATCTTAGAGTAGTGAAACTTTTTGGGACTCTTAAGCTGTAACAGGCAATTCTGGGCTAATTTTGAACATATTTGAAAAGATGTTTAATTTTACTTACTGATACATTTTTGCTTTTGAAGTGTAATAGTTTCAGACAGAACCAGTTACCACGTGCTCTTTGGTGGCAAGCTCCCCCTTGTGTTCTTCATTCTCTAATTCTTGCTGTGTTTCCTGAGTTGCAGTAAGATAAGTACTGAACTTCTGGAATCTCTTCTAAGTATTTTGAGATTAACTGTTTTGTAAAGGCCATCTATGAATATAGACCTTTACTATGCATGGGGCTAGTAGTGGAGAAAATCATGCTGCTGATTACTTTGACTTTTAAAAAAATGTGTTTGAACCTCATTATTATTCTCTTATCTTTACAGTGGATGATGTTGGAGAAAAATTGGACCATATAGGAAGCACTCCCTTGAAAATCAGCACTGAGGTGACGAATGATGATGTTGCTAAAGATGACGGTTTTGGTTCAGAAGTTATCAAAGTGTACATATTTAAAGCTGAAGCTGAAGATGATGTCGAAATAGGTACCTTTAAATTCTATGTAGTCTTCCAGTAACATGAAGTATTCCAGTTGTTTTTTTTTGTTTGTTGTTCTTAATTCCATGTAATCTACTGACTGGAATGTTTTGTAGAATTTGACATTTGTGGGTGCTGCCCATATGTGGTAAAATGCTGGGTGTGGATTAGTCTAAAGTTGTTTTTTTGATTAGCAGTATTTATTTGCAGGCAACCAAAACCCAAATGTAAAAGTGGTTGGGTGTCTGCAGCTGTTTTTCAGCTGCTGCTTTTGTCTGATGTTGCAAAGCTGGATGTCAGCAGAGAAAGGCTTCTAGAGCAGATGCCTGTCATTGAACAGTCTTTGGTGGCCTTGATGCAGAGAGAGGGGGAGATTGCTGGGGCTTTAGGCACACGGTCATTTCCAAACCTAACCAAGAAACTCAGAACTGCTCTGCAGGTCTCTCTTGCAAAGAATAGATCCAGTATTCCAGGTGCTTTGAAGTGGACATACAGCTGACTCACGTTCTGTGCTATGTAACTTGTAAAAGTAGAGACCCCTTACACTTGTTCTCAGAGCTGAAACCTCTGGCTCGTTCCACTTTACCCTTTGCATTTAGGTACTGGAACATACCTGGCCTGGAGCCCCAGAGCTGTTCACACGACAAATCAGCCTGACTGTTCTTCCCGGAGTGGGGAAGGGAGTTCATCTCCCATGAGCCGCTAGCGTTGGCCTGGCTGTGCTGTGAAAATCTGGAACTTCAGACAGAATTTTGCTGGATTAGATCAGCAAAGTCCTCCAGTTAGTAACAGTCCTGATGCTGTTTTTCAAGTAGCTTGAATTGCTACTTCAGGAATTTTTCAGCTATATGATGCTTTTATTTTTCTTCTCTGAGAAGTAAGTAATCTTTTCAGCTCAAGTTAATGGCAGAAGAGGATTGTTCCAGTGATGATCAGACTGCTGGCTAATAGGGCAGCTGTCTGTGGTTTTCTCTCTTCCTTAGGGTAGGTTCAGAATTAGTTAAGACTGTCTTAGAAGTTGCTTGATGTCTTTTGCAGTATAATACTGTGTAGAATTTGGAGCCTATTAATCAAGTCCTTCACAAGGCTGCCAAAGTAACTTTACATATTTTGCTATCCTGTTTGGAATTGACACTATCAGATTCAGCTGAGGGTTAGTGAGTATTTCTGTAAGGCCCTGGGATTTTCAGTATTGGATCCTTAATTCCTTTCAAGTATTGAAAAGAGGTTGTGAAAACATTTTGGCCACCATTGCCCTCAAAAGCATGAGGATCTCTGTACACTGTGTTCCATAGAGACATCACCCATCCCAGTGACTTTAATATATCAGTTTTCATCAAGCTTAGGAATAGTGAAAGTCCACATTTTGATTGCAGAGGGATTGCTGCTTCTGTTTGGTTGGGAGAAGGATGTTTGGCAGAGCCTCCTATTTACAGAACGCTTCCAGGGAGTGATGGATCAATGTATTTGATTTGGACTCAGCCTCCTAGCTGAGTATGTCCGATCAGGACCATTCCTAGGAGCAAACAAGGACTCTTGGCATACCAGGTGTTAGCTTGTTCTGCTGTAATCTGCAGCTTTTCTACTCCCTGTTCAGTCCCTGCGATGCACAGAAGGCAGGCACATCAATATTTATGTGCCACCTCTCTCTGACTCAAGCATCAATAGCAAGTTCCAGGTTGGAACTTGTTCTTTTGCCTCTGTTCAAGTAAGTCAGTGGGCCAAATCCTGTTAGTCACCAGGAGGGGCCATGTGGGCAGTTGTTCTCATTTTCTCCTTTCCGATTGTTACTCTTCAGATTGTGTTGTCTCCAGGGATTTGGTGCAGGCCCTTAACATCTTTCTCTCTAGATAATATTCTTGTCGTTGAAGTAATTGACAGTAGCATTTGCTCTTTCACGGTTTTGAGAAGTGTGACCCCAGTATAAGTTACTACTCACTCCCATGTAATGAGTCTGGGACATGAGATAGAATTTTTGTAGGAAAAATTACCTAAGAATCAGGTTTTGCAAGGTAAGTAAGTAGGATCTGGGGAGAGGAAGAGGGATAAGAATTCACTGTTTGCATCTCAAGAAAGAATTTAAAGCCTGTGTTTGGGGCAAGGTGGATTTGCAGTCATTTTTATTAGTGAGCGTGGGCAAGTGTGTGTTTCCAGTCACACTCGTTGGCTGCTTGATCCTTCTTACCTAGTGGTCGTCCAGTCTTGAATTTATCAGAACAAACTCGAGATGTTTTTTCCTTATCTGCTCCAAAGTATCAGACTTGTATGATTTTTATGACAGACACGGATGTAAAAACATTTAATTGGAGTTTTACAAAACAGCTTTGTTGTAAATAAGAAAAAAAATACTTAAATCTGACATGTATCTTAACAGTGGCTTTGTTTACATTTACTTAATGTGTTTAACTTCTTTTTGTTAAAGGTGGAACAGAAATTGTCACAGAGAGTGACTTTCACAATGGACATTCTGTAGCTGGAGTAATTGAACAAGGAGGTGTTGGTAGAATGCAGCGAGAAAAAATGGTTTACATGGCTGTTAAGGACTCTTCTCAGGAAGATGAAGATATTAGTAAGCATAATAAGAAACATTTTTGTTTCTCATGCTGTTTTGTACAACAATATAAACATCATTCTCAAGGACTTTTTTAATTTTTCTGAAGGATTCTTCAGCCTGAAGTAGTAGAAAACTAAGCTCATCTTCCCTAAAAATAAAAAGCAGGCTATAATTATTTTAAAGTGATGTGGATAAATGCACTTTGTGCATACTGTATGCAATCATTTCATTATTTATATTAAATTTAACATGTCCATGGATGAAGTTCATGAGGTTAGTCAAATTTCTCATTTTTCTGTTTTCCTACTGTGAATTGCCTTGTTTAATGAGCTTTCTGGCAAAGTGGCAAATAAATGTCATCGGTTACAAGTTTATAAGTTTGTATATTTGAGTTTATGTTGGTATTTCGTTTGGATTTGTATTGATACATGTTTTCTCTCTTTAAGGATTGTCTGAATAAACAATGATCCCCTAAGAGAAGGGGTGGTTCTGTATGTGAAAGGAAGAAAAGTAATTTATAATGGGTATCAGTCAGAGCGAGAGCAAATTAAATGAAGGAAAAGTTAGGATGAGCAGAATAAAATTAAAGATTTATCTTCTCCTTTAATCCAGGCTGTGCTGAAATAGCAGATGAAGTTTATATGGAAGTTATTGTAGGTGAAGAAGAAGCTACATCACTTCCCGACACACAGCTTGAAGACTCTGGCGTGAATAAAACTTTTGTCCCTGTTGCTTGGGCTGCTGCTTACGGTAGGAATCTGTGTGCTTATTTTCTGAAAATCCCTTCCATTTTTTTCTCCCTCATCTAGCTTCCAGAATCTCTGTACAAATGTGTTAGTCTCTCACCTTTCCCAAGGGGGTTTGGAAACAGCTCCTTCTGATCTTTTAGTGTCAGTGTAGTTAAGTAATTTGAAAAATAATTTTTACATCAGTTGTGACCTTTTACACATAAGGTCCTTAGGTTTTTTTCTGTTCAATACAAAGAAAACAATTTCATTTTTACATTTGGTGTTTTTTTCCCAATGCTGGTCTGTCATACATTTACCAATTAATTGAGTAGTTGATTGTCTTGTGTATAATGAATAGACTGCTATATGTTGAGTTTTAAGAGGTAGAAATGAAAGCTGTTAGGAGAATTTTTATACTGTTCTTGATTCCAGCTCAGATGTACAGAATGCATGGTTTTAATGGTTGTTTAAGTTGACTGCAGAAGAGCTTACAAAACTAAGAATAGCCTTAAGTATTTTACATTAGCTAGGAGGAAGGGGGGAAAAAAGTTTTAAAAGGGAATAGTAGGAATAAATGTGTAAACGTGTTCCTAATAATTTAAGTTTCTATGCCTGTTTTAAGCCTGTTAGTCCCTCAGGTTAGAAACGAAAAGAAAAAAGGTAATTTGTTCTCTTCCACCAGGCTTCAAACAGCAGAAGTGTCTTATGAGGATATATTGTGAATTCTGAATATTCTTTTACTTCATAATCTTCTCTCAGATTTTGGCATGTTAAATGTATATTAAGAGGGTATCAGCTCATCCATGGTTTACGTTCTAAGTGAGCAAGTTAGTTAAATTTAATTGGTGAAATACTTCTGAGCACAGTAGTTGGGCTGATAAAGCCGTTTAGAACCACAGACCCTTGGCAACAGCAGTAAACACTTGCAATCCAAAATGAGGAATATACTCTTAAGGTGTTACTTCTCTGTCTCCCAGAACTTTGTAGTACCTCATATAGATGATAGGGGATTAGTGTTCCACCTACTTCTACTCCAGAAAGATAAAGTGCTTTGACCTCAAGAACAAATGGTGGATCTCAGATAACCTTGTTTCTGGATTGGTGTCTGAGGTTCTGTATCGGGTTATAGTTTACAGAAACAATCATATTAATTATGAAAAGCAGGAAAGACAGTCAGCAGGGTAAGCATGCAAACACAGCTTTAGTGGATATTAACTCTTTACAAAGATGTGATTTTTATTTCATGGGGTTCATAATTGCAAAATACTGAACTGATTGTGTACTGCACATCTCAGTTTGGATAGGGTTAAGCTGTTACTTCCTAGCTAAGTTAGTTTTCTCTTATTGTCAGACTTTCAAAGCCGTCATCTTTAAAAACAATTTTAATTTATGATTAAAATACCATTTTCTGCAGGAGATGAAAGAAGGCTACCCAGAAGATATGAAGATGGTCAAGCGGCAGGTAAGAGCATGTAACTGTGCTTGGTACAGCATTAAAACTAACTCGCTGTCTTTGAAAATTCATAGATTTTTATGTCAGTTCTCCTAATCAGTGAATGCCGAAAATTATCCATAAAATATACATTGAAGGACTCCACAGTCTTTCTCTACTATTTTGAAATTAAAACAGTTCTAGATGTGTTGTAGGCGTTCAGAGGGGGTGGGGAAGTTGGGAGGATCTGCCAGGTTTTTTAATAGTTTTGTAGTCAGGAGAGAGATTAAATGTGGTTGTTAAGAAGTAAAACCAAGTTAAATAAAAGGAAACAACCAGCATAACTTATAAGAAATGAATGTCCTGAGAAGTATGAGAAGTCAAGGAATATATTTTAACATTAATCAATGTTTCAGCAACTATATTCTTGACTTTTGCCAGGAAAGATAGATAGTGCTTTATATTGGCACTCTTCTTTTTTCGTATGTGTTCACTGTAGAGGAATGGGTAGTATTTTTAAAAAAAAAAGTAAATATGCTGCTGTGCAATTCCAGTCATCAATCCCAAAGAAAAAAGTTGTTTAAGGTTTTTTATGGTGTCTAATTTTTGTTTCTAGGAAATAACTTGGATACACGATTAGAAAACAAAAACGGTAATGCAACACAATACCTGCAGATTTGTGATAGCATTAGCACTAATAGAGTGCTAAAACAAAAAACCAAGAAAAGGAGGAGAGGAGAGGCCAGGCAATGGCAAACAGGTAAACACTGTATGGTTATGCGTATTGTCATGGAGTGGCACTTACTCCTGTACTATTCCTTTTTTTGTTTTTCTTTCAAGCTGGTGCAGAAGTAAAAAATATAAATGATGATTTGCATATTTCCTGTGTCCTTCCCCCCTCCAATTCTGTGCATAGAAAATGTAGTAATTTTTGCTATTCGAAGTTAGTATACTTAGGGCTGATGCAGTTCATGTGAATTTTGCAATCTATTAAAAAGTAATCATGGATATATTCACTGCACATTCAATATTACTGATCTGTTCGAGCAGTTTCTAAAACAAAACTATATAAACTATAGGTGCTGTGGATTGGTTGTTTTTAAACTACTGAACCATTCTCTCTCTGCTGCAAGTGTAAGTGCATGAATCTGAACAGCAGTTGGCTGATTTAAAGCTTCTTAATCAGTAAATGTGTTTCCTTCATAACTTGTTTTTGTTTGTTCAAAAACAGCTGTTATAATAGGTCCTGATGGACAGCCCTTAACAGTTTACCCTTGTCATATTTGTGGGAAAAAATTTAAATCCAGAGGATTCTTGAAAAGGCATATGAAGAATCATCCAGATCATATGATTAAGAAGAAATACCAGTGTACAGACTGTGACTTTACAACTAACAAAAAAGTAAGTTTCCACAATCATCTGGAAAGCCATAAACTTATAAATAAGGTTGATAAAACCCATGAGTTTACAGAATATACAAGAAGATACAGAGAAGCAAGCCCGTTGAGCTCTAATAAGCTAATACTGAGGGACAAGGAGCCTAAGCTACACAAGTGCAAATATTGTGACTATGAAACTGCAGAGCAGGGACTACTCAATAGACATCTGCTTGCAGTTCATAGTAAGAACTTCCCTCATGTCTGTGTGGAATGTGGGAAAGGATTCCGTCACCCATCAGAGCTGAAAAAGCATATGAGGACCCACACTGGGGAAAAGCCATACCAGTGTCAGCACTGTGTCTTCAGGTGTGCTGATCAGTCCAATCTGAAAACTCACATCAAAACCAAACACGGCACTGATTTGCCATTTAAATGTGAGCACTGTCCCCAGGCGTTTACAGATGAAAAAGAACTGCAGCAGCACACAGAGTTATTTCAAGGGCATAAGACTCATCAGTGTCCACACTGTGACCATAAGAGCACCAATTCAAGTGACCTGAAGCGACACATTATTTCAGTCCACACAAAGGATTTTCCCCACAAATGCGAGGTATGTGAAAAAGGTTTCCATCGTCCATCTGAGCTCAAAAAGCATAGTGAAACCCATAAAGGTAAAAAGATACATCAGTGTAGACACTGTGACTTTAAAACATCAGATCCTTTTGTACTTAGTGGGCATATCCTCTCAGTTCACACCAAGGACCTGCCTTTTAAATGCAAAAGATGTAAAAGAGGATTTAGGCAGCAAAATGAACTTAAGAAGCACATGAAGACCCACAGTGGAAGAAAAGTTTATCAATGCCAGTATTGTGAATATAGCACTACGGATGCGTCGGGCTTTAAACGGCACGTAATATCCATACACACAAAAGACTATCCACATAGGTGTGAGTATTGCAAAAAGGGATTCCGTAGACCATCTGAAAAAAATCAGCATATAATGAGGCACCACAAAGAGGCCATAATGTAATATATGATCTCAAGAAGGAAGCAATTTAGAAACTGTGATAATTGGGGAAAAAAAAAATCTCATGAACTGTTTCTCCTGGTTTCAAAGCTTGATATTAAATCATAACTTTACATTCTTTGTATTAAAAGTCTTAAAAGTATTAGGGTTGACAGGGGATCTCATAGCCCTATGATTGTTGCTTATCAGAACCTAAAGAGCACTATAGAATGCAGAAGGATGGATGAATGTCTTAAATTTGCAGAAAGATGGATGAATGTCTTCAGACTAATAGTATTACACGTTGTTAAGCTATAGAAGACGAAACGAAGATGATTGTGTTAGCCATTTTGTCAGTAACAGCGTTTGTCTCCAATATGAAAACAGTTCAGATATATGGTGGGGTTATTTACAAATTGTGTGCAAAGGCAACCGAGTCTTAACTTCTTGTGCAGTTTTGAAAGGAGAGTATTAGTCAGTCACTTGATCATAACGTTTTTGAATCGTGCCTGGAAATTAAATTCCAGAACTGGTCAAACCAGGGGGGGTTGTCCTTTTTTTTTTCTTTTTTTTTTTTAAAAAAAAAAAAAAAAAATCATTGGGAAACTTTTTTGTTTCCTTTATTAGTTTAGGTCCAACAAGTAATTTTTTTAATGGTTTTCAAAGCTGCTAACCTATTTTATTGCAGGATATGATGTTTAAAATATAGCATTATGTTATGATCTCAAAGGTGGTGTTCTGGTGCTAGGGTTAAAGATGTGTATGTATATAATTTCCCTTTTTTATCTGAAACTACAGTTGAATGTTGTTCAGTATGGCACATATAACAAAATTAACTTTGAATTTGACTTTTTTTTTTTAAAGGATAAAATGGATGCAGCTCGTAGTGTTGTGACTCAACACTAATTTTTTTTCTCACTACTTTAAAATCTTCTCTAAAAAGAATATTAAAAACAAAGTTGAAAAATGTAGGGGTTTTTAAATTAAAATTCAAAGTACTTAGAAGTTCTTTAGGGCATTGTTCTTAACAGGTATGACTATTATTGTCCTACCTCCTAATAGGAAATTTTCAATATAGACATAAAATTGCACCTTTTAATCAATTCTTCAAAAAAAAAAAAATCTATACCATACTATAAACATGCATTTTCAATCTGTAAGAAAGTATATATGCAGTATTTAACCAGAAAAATATGCTGCCACTAGAGTTTGGAGGTGGATCTTCAGTTTACAGTGTATACATTTAAAATATGCATCCCTTTAAACAATGCTTTGTGTTAGCATGCTGCAAATCAAATGGCGCTTAATATAACAAGCTGGTCTAGGGCTATTTAATGAAAAACCTGTTCATAAATGTTATGCATATAATGTGTATTTTTTACTTTTTTAGTTGCTTCATGTTTGCACACAGCTGTTCACATGATAAATTGTAACTTCATGCTATATTGTGGCTTTGTGTTTCAGATAATGTTCATATTTTGTTTTTGCACCAGATGAGAATCAGTTCCTTGAGAATAAATTTTTTTTATATTTCTAAACTTCAGAAAGTTAAATTTGGGAAATCTCTTAGAAAAATACGTGTTTTATGTGGCTGTAAAAAATGATGTACACGCTGTAAAATAAGATTGTCACTGTTATGTGGGATTATTATTTCTAAATGTGTTACTCATCGTAACGGGCATACAATAAAACGCATCTCTTGCACTCCAAATTTTTTGGAGTTTGCTTTTCATTTATGGTGTTTAGGAAAGTCGGATGCTACGTGAATTTGCCTAATATTTTTAATTGCATTATTCGTTAATTAAGATGTAATAACATTGCAAGTAAACAGGTTACTTGAGGTATATTTGTCAGACTATTGAGGGGAGAATATTGGCATTTTATTTGACTAACGCTTTAAAGTTACAGGTAATGTATTTGTGCTTATTTCTAAAATAACACTGACATTCCTTTGACATTTTTTCCTTTAAGTAAAGAGAACATAAAGCTTCTCACATATGTTGGGAAAAGCCAGGTAGGTTTTGTCTTTTTATCTGTAATAAGAACAGCTTGCAAAATGAAATAGTAAAAATACTGCTATCTTAATTTCCCTCTCTTTTTAGAGTACTTGAAATACGACATCAGTAATAGATTAAAAACTGTGAGAATGTGATATTAAATGAACTTTTCATCAAGGATTTCCAACAGGCTTTTGGCCAGTGGGCTTGTGGGTTTTGTACTAAAAACCAGAAGTGATGCAGACATGAGCCTATTGATGTGTGGTTTGTTTATACTACCTTTATTTTTTTATATGCCCAGCAACCAAAGGAGGAGGCTGTAGCATTCAAAAAATCTTGGAGATTAAAGTTGTGGGGTTTTGAGGAATTTAATGCTTTATTCCTGAATGTTGTATTGAATACATAGACTGAAGGAGTTTCTTCATAGCAGACTGAAGATGATCGTTCTGACTCTGTGACAAAGCACACATCCATGCTGGCTCATTTTTCCACCCTGCAGAAGGACGGAATAATCAGGTACTTGAGTATTGTGAACATTTCCTGTAGCCAACTTTGTAGAAGGACTTAATCCCACATTGCTGAAGCATCCATCACAGTTCATGGGGTACAGAACGGGATGTGGGGGCTAGAAATGAATTAGACATTTGGAGAGCCAGCATTTTTAGACAGTGTATGAAATCTGGACATAATGCGTTTAAGCATTGCGCTCAGATCATGCTTTAATACATTTTATTGTTAATTCTTGGTATCTATTGGTGAGCTATATTAACGTTTACATTTTACAATGTATATTTGAAGTAGTGTTTCTTCCAAGGAGTGCATGTGGGTTAATTCTTTCTGTGATGAACAGTTGTTCAGTGTAAGGTGGTTGTTTAGTGAAAATCGGTGAGTGGTATCTACTGTTCTTAAGAGCGTGGTACACTGTGGGGCATTGGTTTTGTTACCTAGATTTTTCTATTGTGTTTGGTTTTTTTTCTTGCCCTAAAACCACACACTGTAAAGGGCACAAAAATATTTTTAACATATTTAATGAGAGATGGGTGTTGGATAAAAGTTTAATTCATTCAGAGCTTCAGCATTATATTGATGAATGATTAATTTCTGTAACTTTGTATTTGGAGTTGAGGTTTAATAGTGTCTAAGTCCACCTGATGACGTTTCTTTTTAATTGGGGAAAAAAGTAATATTTTTGGAACATGAAAATCTGAGAGGAAAATGTTTTTCAAGGTGTGAGGGAGGGAATAGTGGTTGGAAAAACCACAACTTTTTGTTACCGACTAAGGTAAAAATACGGGAAAGTGTAGGACTTGAAGCAGGTGCAGACTAGTACAACCTTCTGTGTGTGAGCCCTGCTTTTTGTGATGGCTGGGTGGAGAAACTGAGTTGTTAAACTTGGCAGGATGGTTACAGGCAGCCTTGTCGCCTGTGAGGTCTCAAGATGAGTTGCCACTTTTCCTCGGCTGGCTTACGCATTAGTATTTTGAACGTTTCTTTCTTTGTATTAATTGTTTGTCTCCTCTTCTCTTGGCAGTGTATGGACAATGCAACCTAGCTAAGAAGGGCTGTGAAAACAAGGTCTGTCAAAGAAAGGAAAAGCCTCGAGACTTAACCCACACAGGTTAAGGTTAATCGTTTACTACCCGTGTGTTGTTAAATTTGAAACAGTTCAAAGAAGTAAGTTTGTCAGACTTTTTGCTTGAGCAGTGCTTTTAAAATTCAGTAGCTTATGTTACAGCTGGGTGAGTGTGTGCTGCTGCTTGGCCCTCAGTTGGTTCTGTCCAGTGATGCTTAGAGTTGATGACTTGAGGCTGGACTTAATGTGTTGTTCTGCTCCTTCTTCCAGCACTGACGTCTTTCTGTAGAGCTGCGGGTGTCAGAGCTTCTTGTAACTGTCCAACGGGATGGTGAATAGGTGAAGCAGGGGATGGAAGATGTTAAGAGGGCTCTGGTGGTTTAAAAAAGTAATACTGGGATGGAGGGATGGATGGATGGATGGATGGATGGATGGATGGATGGATGGATGGATGGATGGATGGATGGATGGATGGATGACAGAATCAACAAGAAAAAGGCCTGTGCTGTATATTGCAGGCAAGACGCTGGGGCTGTGGAGGAGAGGGTGTACAAGTTGGAGTTAGGGAAGGGAAATAAAGGAATGTGCCTGCTAGATGAAGAGAAACCTGAGAGGAAGTGGTGTTACATGCCATGCTGTTACTTTGTGTATGTTGTTTGAGTAATTTAGGATTTTATATTTCTCTTCTGTATGTATTCATCCAAGAAGACTCAGGTAGAACCTTGTTCTTTTCCTCTTTTTTTCCCCCTATGACTGTATTTCCCCAGTAACTGAAATTCTGAATTAAAGCAAGCACTTGGCTCATATTCTTGACAGAAGGTTTTACTACAAAGTAGCATTTTAAATCTTCACCTGAATCCTCAGCAGTTCGAGGCACAGTTCCTAGATTCTTTTCAGTGCATTTTCCCAGTAAATATTTAAGAGAATTTGTGATGGCTGTTGTATTGTTACCATGGAGGTGTCACGATTTTAAAAATGCTTCTTGTCAAATCACAGTAAAATTTGTATCTCAGTACTTCCACAGATCCCTGCTCTGTGTAGTCTGTACTTCTGCCCTGCCTGGCTCCCTCCCCTGAGCTGGCAGCAAACTGCCTTTGGTCCCCCCAACACATGAAGCCTTTAGGATGGGATGAGGTGCTCTCCAGGCAGGACCTGCTTACTCATTTTCAAAGCAGATGAGCTCCTACGTGGTGGTAGGAAGCAAGTGAAAGAGAGACTCTACCACCTGTAAGCCTTGCAAGTGTTTTGACTCCAGTGTTGAATTGAATGGTAACAGCTGGTGGTACCGTATTTAATAACTTGTCCTGAACACTGGGAATGGTCTCCCATCACTGGTGAAGTTGCACGATCTCTGTTCTTTTAGAGGTGCTCTTTAGTAGATGTGATCATCTTCCACGCATACACGCCTTCCTTGGTGAGGTTTATCTATGCCTTGCTTTTGCCCTGTTTTCAGAAGGGGCTTTGAGCTGTGCTTGCAAGCATTCCTGGTTTGTCAGAATTCCTACGATCGGCCCCTGCAGCAGCCTGAGCTGACGCGGTGATTGACCTTCCCCGGCACTGGTGATGGGATGTCGCTCCACACTGCCAGGAGCAGGGAAGGTGCTGTGTGCTGGGAGGCTGGTCACTGCTGGGAGCACAACACCGAGGAGGTTCCGCTGTTCTTGATGTGTTTGGATTTCTCCTCTGCCTGCTCCTGCGGTGCTGTACGTGATGTACAAACACATCGTGGTTGCTTGAGCAAGCAGAGAGTTTCACAAACAGAAGGGTAGCTCTAGAATGTCAGATTCGTTTACTGTGGTTTTTAATTTCAATGACAGACAAGAACTCCTAAAAGGCAGGAGCGCTTAAAAGTGATTCATAGCTTGATCATCTATATTTTCTTTCTTCGTGTTTCAGATGCCCACAATTAAAGGTAATGAAATCGACAGAGAAAATACAGAAGACGCCAGCAGAGTGCTCTCAAGGTCAGGGTGAGTTACCTTGACGTGGTATTCAGTGTCTACATCTACTCTTGCAGAAGGCTAGGGATGTCAGTAACTTCTGAACCAGGGCGCTCTGGCTTTGTTTTTTACAGCTGAGGCAGAGAAACTCTTCCCACATACTGAGTTGTGTGAAAGAGTCAGTAGTAGAAACCAGAAGCCAGTTTCCTGCTCTTCAGTGTAAGAACAAGAAACGCTGCGTGCCGTCAGATCTGCTCAGGCAGTGAGGCTTTGTTTAGTAACTTGATAAAGACAGTGTAATAGGACAGGATGGATATTGTTGTAAATACACAAAGTAAATGCTGTCTTTGATTTTTCTGATTTGTTCCTGAAAAAATGTAGAAGGCTTAGCAGACCTACATGAAATTGAGGTGAAAAGCTAACTAATGCGTGCTGTTTGTAACTGGGGCAATAACTAGCATTTACAGAGCTGTGTGAATGAGAAAAATGTGTTTTGGAAACTCCAGCAGAAATAATGTTAGGTAAATCGGGTTCTGCTCAACAGAAAAGAGGCAATAGCTGAGATTACAGCAAATAACATGTACTTTTATAATAAAAAGTACTAAATTTGCTTTTTGAAGAAATCTGATTTGAAAACAAAACCATCCCCAAATGGCCCTTATGCTTCATTTACTAGCTTTTTGACTAGTATCTATTGCTTCATGTTTTCTGTGAGTAAAACGTGGTGCTACAGCCATCAGCACTGCAGCCTGTAGAGCATACAGAAGTCTGAAAATACTCCTTACCTTAGAGCAGCTGATCCTTGCTACTCAGTACAGTATTGACACCTGTCTTTCCTGACTGGCAAACTAGTTTGTAAATACGATGTCCATTACCTGTCTCTTGAAGTACGGGGAACAATCACCTGTTTTCAGCTTTACCATCTCACCAGCTGTACATGCAGAACAGGTCATTTGCCTGATCTTGGCCTTTGTTGTGAAATTCTACCCAGGCCCAACAGCTCTGACTGTAGCCAGAGCCTGTGTCTGTCCTGCAAGGCCATTCACGTTCAGTGCCTGCGCTTCGCCTTTGCGTGGCCCCGACTCCTCCAGCGCCGCGGGCTGGTCGGTGGGTGCCTGCAGTGGCTGCGGAGCACGCGGTGTGTCCGTCGGTAACTCCTGGTCCTGCTCTTCGTAGCTTCTGCCGAGCGGTTTGTGTGAAGCTTCCGATGAGCCAAGCCCAGCTGAGATGGGGGCAAGGAGCACCGTAAGTCTGCCGCCGGGTTACGCACAGGTAACGGTGTATGGCATCAAACAAGTGCCACCTTCCTCCGCTTTCATTTATTGTTATTCTTTAGGTCACCAAAGGTGTAAAGGCATTAGCTGACAGTGTAACTGATGTTATTTACTGGGCTAGAACACACTGACAGTATTGTGTGCCAGCAGCATGTTAACTGTGTACGTACCTGCTCTCTAACTGCTCCACACTGAGGGCGTTATTTTAGACTCTGTGGTTGATTTCAGAGGGGCAAGGCACTCCTCATTCAAACGAGGCTATTTCATTTTTAACTAACGAAAACCTTTCTGTAGCATTAGGCTGAGGTCGTTGTTTGATGGTGCAGACTCCTGCAGGCCTGCTGGGGGTGGCCACACGTGCTGGGAGGGGGTTTTACCCTTGTCCCTTTCTCCCTGTTACAAAGAGCACGAGCTCGTCTCTGACATCACAGCATCAACCCCTCCAGCCCATCAGGTACACGAGCTGTTTCCAGTACAGACAGACGTGATTCAGAAAGTTATAGTTAGGTTTATTTCAGTTACACGTAGCTTACAGCCTTTTTTCACCATTACACATTGTCTATACGTATTATTTGTGTAGAGAAATAGATGTCTGCAGAAACAAAGCAAAGCAGGAACCCCATGATACAGAGCTAGCACCTTTTGATGGCATAGTTTAAAATTTCCCCCCTGAGTCTCTGCACAGTGCTGCTTAGACAAATGCTTAATTATTAATACCAATTAATTCTGAGAGAATTTCTGTGGTCCTGCAAGGAGCAAAAAATTTACAAGTGAAAGGTTGGTCTGATAATGAGATTTAGCCTTATGCGCTATTTTCATATTAAGCTTTTCTATATAAAAATATACTAAGTTCTTGAAATTTTCAAGAACTTAGTAAAGTAAATACTTATGGTTGGTTTGGGAGCTTGTAAAAGTTCAAGCTGAAAATACTCTGAATCAACTCTGATGTCAGTAACGTTCTTTGAAATTATCATTTGCCCAGTAATGTCACTGAACTCACTAACTGGTGTTTGCCAATTCAGTAGCTAATTTTGAGGAGTTGTGTACCTGGTGTAAGTTAAGTAATTTTCCTTTGTGTTTTAGCTTCCCTGACCTAGCAGGTGTGAGGTATGTGAAAGTTCCCCGTGAAGGCTGTTTCTGGGGTTTCCTTCACTGGGCAGTAGCAGATGAACAGCCATCACTGTGTACGGGGATTAAACGGGCATCGCTCTCACTGCTCGGCCTGAGGAGGTAGGACAGAGGAATAGGGCTGACAGTACGGAGAGGAAAAGGTTTCTGACATCTTCCTTTTGTCTCTCGGGTCACTTCAGGACTGGCTGAAGATCAGAAGTTGCTCATGTCAAGAACTGAAGCGCACAGGAGCGTGGTGTGCTGCTCTCCGAGCGAAAAGTAAGTGTGTGAAAAAGTACAAGTAACGTTTGAACACCAGAGTTATTGGCAGATGATGGACGGGGTAACCCAGTTGTTCATGGTGAGGTGAGAGTGTTTGCCACTCTCGTCATGCTTCCATGTTCTCAGTGGAAGGACAGTTTTCCCCAGCCTTTCCCACTATCAGACTGAACCTTTTTTTGGATGCGAAATAGCAGAAAGTAAAGCAGTTTTAGTCATCATGAACTCCTCTGAGCAGCTCTGATGGCTGAGAGATTTCTTTCATTCCTAAAAGAAACGAGCAGCTTGTCAGAAGAAAATACACAAACTTACTTCTGTATATCAAAGCAAGCTGCCTGGTGTATAAAGCATGTCTGGTTTAATGATCTGTTTCTTTTCTCTGTGTGGGTGTTGAGGTGTCCCAGCCCCGTCAGCTGTTGGCCACGCCCTGCCTCCGGGAGACGCAGACCCCAGGACAAAAGCGGTTTGGGACTTCGGAAAACAACCGAGAACAGGAAGTTACCAGGTACCTAAATAGATTATTATACTATTTCTACCCTAAAAGTTTTCTCTAACACAACTAGCTCTGACGTTCCAAAGCACATTTCAGTACTTTCACTTGCGTATCAAAGGACTGAGCATAACTCATCACTGCTTGAAGGACATGTACAGGCCACGTGCTTCCAGAATAAACCCCACGTGTGCAGATACCTGTCAGCATTGCTGTTCCATAATGAGCGCAGATAGAAAGATTTGGCTGAGAGTACGTAAACACAGGAAAGTACTTGTGGAGTAAAGGTGGAATTGGCACTTCTCAAGCTTAGCAAGTTTATCTTGCAGCAAATCAATTTTGTTTCAGCTGGAACTTGCACTAGGGATTGATAGAGACCTTGGAAAACTTAAAATACAAACAGTTCTCATTCGTCTAACGATACTCATCTCTTCAAATGCAGAGTACACTCATCTTTTCCATTATTTTTTTTTATAATGGAAATAATGAGTAACTTTTCAAACAAGCTAGGAGGAAGGGTTTTGGGCTTTAGCAGTGTCATTTCTTTATTACTGTTTAATTCCTTGACATCTCCCTAGGTTGCAGTGCAACTGGATGAGTTTGAGATCAGTAATAAACAGCTGCTTGCCAGAGACCTCTGCCTTTTGTTTCCTTAACCCTACTCCAGGAAACACAGCCTTTAGAACTTGCCAGATGTTTTACCCTTCGTCTACCCAGCCTGCTCTCCTCATTGCCTTGCTCTTGGTCATGTTCCCCACAAAGGCACTTGCTGAACCCTGTTTCTGCGGCACCCTCGTCCAGAACCCAGGGGTGGGAACTGGCCCCGCTGATCTCTGCCAAACCTTTACCTCCCGGCAGACTTGGCAGCCTGACCTCGTGCCCTGGAACGTAAATACTTTTTACTTTGAATCACTCCTTACCAAGCCACCGCTCTTCTGCATTTCCTGGGTTAGTCACTGTCCTGCCCTAGTGTAAGTTTCGGGGACGTGGCAGTTAATATATTTTAGTGTAGTTTGGAGTCATTACTAGTCCTGGTCCAGAGGAACGCTGCCCGCCCTAAACATGCCTTCACTAGTGAGGAAAACCCTCCTGCCCGAGTGACTCCCTGCAGAGGCTGCTCTTAGAGCAACACCACTTCCTTTGTGACAGGTAATTCCGTGACAGAGAAAACAACAGAGGGTTATTTTAGTTATGCTCCACCCAACAATGAGTGCCCTCTCGCAAGAGACAGTTCCTGGACTTTCATCTGTCACTTGGCTTCTGCAGCCCAGTTAAACCAACACCATAGCTTTCTCTCGGTGTTTTGGCTCACGCTTTCTTTGAAGTTAAACCGAGTACTTCGGAACGGCAGAGACTGAACAGTCAGTCCCTGGGTGAACTTACGTGCTTCCATATCTCGCCAGTCCTCTCAATTACGATAGTTTGGGATTTATTGACAGGTGAGGGAACCTTGTAGTCATCAGAGAGCAGACCCAGAATAGGGTACTGATTCCGGTACCTGGAGGAAGAAGAGTTGCACACCTGTAAACTGCAATCCCTTGGCCACATTACTCTGATCTCACCCAAAGTCCTCCCAGTCATTAATCCCCCGACTGTCACTAGTAACTGGGAGGCTCATACAGGCTTTTAAACGTCCCTCAACCCTGCTTGGCCACCCCGACGCTTGCTCGTGCAGTGCTCAGCACTGAATCCTCCCCACATGGCAAAACCTGTCTCAGCTTGTTCCCCGTTAAGTTGAACAGGCAAAGTTAAGACATTTGCAGGAATAACTTGGTTAACAGAGGCTGTACAGTGGGAAATCACAAGGATATGCTTTTAAGAAAGGTGAATAACTACGTTACTTCTTAGTGATGATAGCTGTTACACCAGGGGACTGACTGCCTGATAATTTGTCATGCTTCAATCTGAAGAGTTCCTGAGAAAACCAAAAGTAAACATTCAAATGAAATCATGTTTTCTGAAGTATTAGTTCACTGAAGTCACAACAAAATATTTGCAGAAATTTCTCTCAAAGAGCAGCCCAAAAAAGTGTCCTTCCAAAAGACTGGCAGAAGAATAGCATTCAGTTAAAAAAATCCTGAACCAGGAGAGTACAGGTGGCCTCCTTGTAGGTTCCCACCACCCAGTAAGTGAAGGCTTAAATATAAAAATTCTTAGAAGAGAAATAGGTTGTATTATTTTACCTCTTGCTGTTGTTTAATACAAGCATCTTTCTCCTCCAGCATGGATGTCAGTTCATGCAACCTCATTTGCAGGTCACTGTTACTGCCTTCTCTCCTTGATATATCTTGCTGGAACTGGCACAACTGAGACTGCAGAAGACACATTAGGAGGAGGAGAGCTTGGTGCTTCCTGCAGGTGACTGTCAGTAGGTATCTAGGACTCTGGATGTACTTTTTTCATTAAAATCATGAATACTAAGACCCAGCCATTTTCAGGTAAGACTGTTGAGCTGCACAGTCAGTTCAGAAAGTGTGAACTCGACTGAATTCTACCCAGTATCAATTTAACCATTTCATAAGTCAGTGAAACTAATACCACACTGAACAAACTGAACGGGCTTCCAGGGTGGTAAAATATTACCACAGTGATTTAAATGAAAAACAGTTCCTACATACAGTTTTGACTGGGATTTATTTTAATTTTTCTGTTGGGGGTCTTTTGGCTAGTTTCTTACTTCATTAGGACACACAGAATATCCCTTTAGGAAAGACTGCTAATCTGATTACTCCCCAGTTACTACATCTAAGGAATTGTATTTTTTTTTAAAATCACAGTTTGATGTTCTACCATAAGTGTTTCTGAGCCATCGTTAGTGTCTATGTATAAAGTAACTGCAGAACCAAAAGATACCTAAAAAGTACCTGCGATAGATCTTTCCTGTTCCTTAATTTAAAAAAGCAGCTGTTTACGTGCAGTGGTACAAGGTGAGGCATACACACAGACCAAATATAACAACTTACCCTAAGGCTGCGGATCTCCCGATCTTTATCCTCTCTCAAGTTATTGATCATCTCTACGTAACGGCTGGAGAGCTCATCTGTGGTGGTCTGTAGTGTTGGATTAGAGCAGGTCTACAGAAAACAAAGGGGTTTTTTATATTAAAAAGAGGGGTTTCATCACTCATTTTCATACATTAACGCATCAATATCTGCGGAGAACAGCTGTTGAACAGAGAACACGTGAGCCTGTCACCTGCAGCCTGAGGTTCTGGATCTCCTGCTCCAGGGCCCGCTTGCAGTACTCCAGTTCCTTGAGCTGACAGTCCTTCTCGCCCTCGCTGAGCCGCAGGGAGAGCAGCTGTTCCTCCAGAGAGCGGCATCGGGCAGTGCTGTCCCTGAGCCCTTGCTGCGGGCAGACAGGGGGAAGGAACGAGGGGGGGGCGTGAGGAGAGCACCAGGACGCTCCAAGGGCAGCACACTGGCTCGTCCTTGGCTGACTGTAATTACACTGAAAACAGGGGTTTGGGTTTACCTGCTGCTGACGATTGTTCTCTCTCAGAGAAGTCAGCATAGTTTCATATTCTTTTACTTGAGAATCTTTAAAAGCCAAATCCTTCTTAAGTAAGACACTGTCGGTTTCTAACTTCTGTAAGACAAAAGTGTTTATAGCTGCAATATTTCAGCAAATTTTTCCCATATTCACAGTACAACATACGGAGTCATTCGTGAGTGATGTTTTAGAACTGAGAAAATACTCCATTTCCTTGAAGCTCGGGGTAACTGCACAGCGCACAGCTGCCCGTCGCTGGAGGAGCTGCCTTTGTGTTGGGGTAAGCACAGGGACCCCAGACACTGCACTCTCCATCTGTCCCAGAAAGAATTCTTTGTAGCTGTTAAACCAAACCCCCAAGGCAGAGAGCACTTCACGCCCTGGCTCTGCGGTGAAGGTGACGGTTCCAGGTCCCCCTCCCTGTGCTCTGCACTTCACAGGAGAACACTGGGAGCTTTGCAGCAGGGCCGAGCGCCGGGGCTGGGCTGGGCGAGGTTGGGGCTTTGCTGTGGGTGAGTCTCTGGGGACCCACCAGCTGAGAGCAGGTTCCTGGGCCATGAGTGGAAGGGAGGGAACAGCCTTGGGGTGAAGCCACAGCTCCAAGCACCCGCACGCCTACCGCTGCGCTGCGCACACCAGGGCAGAGCTGGGCAGCACCTTTCCCTCAGCGGGGTCGCTTCTTCCTCTAGAAGTATTTGGGTTTTTAGGCTTCAACACTGAACCACTGCGAGAAATGAATCTCACCTCATCCACTGCGAATCGTCCATTAACGAACCAGCCATTTCCACTGAAAGCACCTACGGCCTGGGCTTCACAACTTGGATTTCAGCATAACGGACTTTCTACGGAGCAGCAAAACCCAACGGCTGAGGCCGTAGGAACTGAAAAAGGCAGCTTACCCCCAAGTCGTCCTGCAGGTGGCAAAGCTCCTCACGTAAATTTTTGAAAGTGGAAAGCACAAGTCTCAAAGATTTATCCGATGTCACTCTCATCTAGGAGGGGAAAAAATGAAAAGGTGCACTTCTAATGACTGAGTAAACTCGGTTTACAGCATGCTTGACAAGAGGTAGAAAACTGCCATACAGCTGAAAATAACTTCTGCTCTTAGAAGTACTGCACGGCATTCTTGGAAGCACCCACAGTTTCTACAAAGAAATGTATTTTCATGCACTTTGTTCTACAAGTGGCAGTTTTTGAATTACTGCCTTGTAACACAGATAACATTTTTAAAATTGAAAGAAGAGAATAAAGAACAAACTGAATTTGTACACCAATAAAGAGAAAAACAATGTGTTAATATTGCACAACCATTTTTTAAGTGTTCAGAGCTTTGTCACTTAGACCGATTTAAAAAAATTACTACCCTACCTGAGAAGCCACAGAGGAATGAGACATCATCTTTGAGATCTGGCAAAGCACGCTTTCAGCCCAAGGGCAAGAGAATTTAATTAAAATTTTTTTAAATTTAAATTAGAAAAAGCCATACAACCAACTCCTCCCTTTAAAAAGAAAAAGATCCCAAGATTAAAGGAGTCCACTGGATGAAAAGGAGAGGCAGCAGCACACAATAGCCTAATAGTGTTCTCTGCCTGTTAACAGCCGTGTATTGATTCACCCTGAAACACAAACTGCTGCATTTCATGATACATTTCTAAAAGATTTGAGAGAAGAAAAACAGATTTTGAAAGAACACACAAAGGAATTCCTCAAGTTTTGATTAATCTGGAAGAGCTGAATATTCTGTACAAAAGATGTATTTATCACTATCTGGACAGCAGCGAAATCCTCCTGTCTGCTGCTCTTCCTCCGATACCTGCCCTTGACTTTGAGTTGAAGAAAGCTATCAAGATCTCCAGCAATGTGGTGATGAGCCCGTCCTAGTTTTTTATCCCCACTGGTGCTGTTACGTGACCGAGGCTTCAAAAACAACATTTCTAATGTAACTCACAAACTGTTGATTGTTTTTTCAATTAAAGGGGAATTTCAGTTTTGACTTAATGGTTTTGTTGGGTTTATTGTGAAATATACTGTAAGAGTAGATTAGAAGGAGGAATTAAGTCAAAATGGTTTAAATTTAGACTAGAAAAATACAAGTAAATCCCCACTAAGCAACTGCTCAGTGCTAAGGGTTGCTGATTCCAGAGGTGTCCTGTACTTTCGAGCGCAGTTCTGCGTGGACTCGAGCCTCGGGGCACACCCAGCAGCTGGACAGCTCGCTCAGAATCCTGCTGGGCTGTAAAACCAAACCTGCCTAGCTCCGTCCGAGGCCCCAGAGCTCCCTGGGGGGTGCTGACAAAATCTGGTTCCCCACAGGACGTTTTGGCTGTATTTTCTTGAAGCACAGGTGTAAGAATGTGAAACCAGGTGGACTTACAGAAAGCAGGAAAGACGTGTTTTGGCTCTTTGACGCAGGGGAGCTGAGCTGGGTTCCCGGGCTGGTGTTCTGGCACGAGGTTATGAAGTGTTTTGGTGTCAGTGTCCACTGGCATTGTAAAAGAACTGCAGAATAACTGAAGTTGGGAGGGGCTTGGGAGGAGGTCACCTTGTCCGGCCCTCCTGCCTAAAGCAGGATCAGCTGTGCAGTCAGACACCGCTTCATTCAAAGGGGGTTTTCTACCCGGAGGTGACTGGGAGCTGCAGGTCCCAGGGGGATGAGGTGACCCCCACCCCGGGGAGCGCGGAGCCCACGGGGGTGGGATCCTGCTCTGACGGCTCCACACTGCGGGGCCCTGGGGCTGACCCCGGGATTCACACTGCAGTGCTGGTTTAATGCTCTAGCACAGGCGGGGGCTGACACCCAGCAGCTCTCAGAGCGCTCCGTAAAGGGGCCAAAGGCTTTTCTAAAAAACACGCTGCAGTGGTGCAGGGCTGGAGCCTCAGAACAAAGCCCCGGGTCTGCCTGCCTTAGAGCCAAACCCTCCACAGCTGCAGAGCTGAAGAGCAAGAGCACAACAGACACAAAAGCCTTGCTAAAGGGAACCAACCCCCAAGTGGTTACATGTTGTTACCAAATGTCACAGACAGGCCTCAGAACCCAGTGCTACCTTAGAGGTTTTTAACTGAACGTTTGTAGAAGGTGAGACCCCAAGTAACGAGCTGGCGAACTGCTACCCAGTTCAGCATCCAGTACAGCACCTGCCATTTGCCTTTAGCTTCTGAAGTAAAGCACTGCTATACAACGCAAAAAGATGAAAGATCTGTGTTCTCTGTAACTGGTCAAAAGCCAAGATAGTTTCCAGTGAAATTGCAAGAAAGCACCAGTAAAGCTCGGTTTAAAATAAACAAGCAGTCTGTGGAACCAACTGCCACATGTCACTTGAAGCCGCCTGTACAATCCCACACCCTCTACACAAAAAAATGGAATAAGCAGAATATAGCACGAAGTATGTGATGTACAAAACCCCTGGCATGCATAAGGCAACTTCCACTGTTTCAAGTTACTATAGTCTTCCACACACCCCCTCCACCCCACTCACGTACCTGGAGGAGATAACGAATCTGCTGCTTTGTTGCCTCAGACAGTCCTTTGGGAATTAAATCTTCAATCTCTTCAGTCTACGCAAAAAAGGGAGGAAAAGGGGAGACATCTTGATCAAGAATTCTGCCTGGTAAGTCATAATGTGGTTTCTTCGTTAATTACACGGGTCTACTATGAAAAACATGTTTAGTACAAGGCAAATAAGAATGAAAATAGATCAAAGTGTATCCAGAAAATTTCCAAAGTCTTATATATGTGTGGCATATAAAAACTGAGATGAAGTGATACAGGAAGCATATATTCAAATCGCTTATTTTAACATTTATTTTAAAAGCAGTATTCAAAATAATCCTCTCAAGAAAATAACAGCTGACACTAAAACAGAACTCCCAGCAGGTTATGATGGGAGCAAATCTCCCATTTCTAAACACAGAACAGACTGTCAAGAAACTAAAGCTGACCGCTGTGTCACAGGAGATGCCACCACCGATTAAGTGGCATTGCTTTGTGCAGTTTAATCCCAGAGCAGTATTTCTGCCGTGAAAGGGAACCGAGGTGGTGCGGGTGCTGTCAGGGCCCGAAGCACACCGTGAGCTTGCTGTAGGCGCGGGAGGTCTGTTCCGCCAGCTCACGCCCGCTCTGCGAGAGGCAGGAGGCGGCGCTGCAGCGCCCGGCAGCACACGCTGCGCAACAGCAGCTTTACTGCCACGAATGAAGGATCCTTTGCAAAATATACGCAGCTGTGTAAGTTTGTTTGACAACAAAACCATTATTGGCACAACAGGAAAGACGCAAAATTTGACTCTGGTACTGGAATAATGCAAATTATTAATTACCACATTTCCATATACATGCCTAGCAGTAGGTTTGGGGCTCTGAATGCTATTAACAAGCAGGAATCATAAACCAGCAAAGACCCGTGTCCTTCGTTTAAGCTGGCTTGGCTTAATTTGCCTGGAGACCCACACCATCGTTATTAACACTGTACGTCAGGGAGTGGCTTGACGAGAGCAGGCCTGATGCTTACCTGACACGTAAACTCAATGTCGTGGTTCCTGTAAAACAGAAAAAACCCAAGGGACCAATTAACAGGCAGCTTCTTGAGAACTTTTAAAAGTTAATGCCCGCATCCACAACTACTAAAAGATTATCTTTCAAATACAGAGCAAGAAGGTTCTTTATCAGATGAAGAGCTGTCCCCTCCCTTCCAAGGTGGTGGGCAACACGGGCTGCTGAATATGACTCCACCCAGAACTACCTGAGGAGAGGGGAACGCAAACAGCAGGACGGCTGACACAGCCAACCATCTCCACTCCTTCGGGCAGTTATCCCAGTTATGTTCAGTTAATTACATTCTTAATTGGCTGGGTAATGGTTTACCCAGATAAATAATGGTTTACCCATGGTTCTACTATGCCGCAATATGCTGACATGCCCGAGGTGTTTACTTTGCAGTGCCAGGTTTTCTTTCTGTGATGCTCAAATTCCACTTTTCCCCTCTACGGGACCACTTCCCTTATTTCAGTGGGCTCGGCAGGCACCACTTGAGACTGAGAGTGAGGGGGGAAAGAATGAAGCAGTGGTGACGGTGAGGGAAGGGTAAGAACATAGTGAGGACTCAGATTAGTGGCTGCTGTGACTCTGCACTCCTTCCGGAGGCATCTGCAGGGCTCTGCCATGTCCCTGCTTAACGTCCCTTCGCACGTAGGAACTGGGCGTTACGCCTTACGGTGGCCACCGGCTGATCTGTGACCTAACACCATGACAGAACAAAGGAAAGGGCAATGTGTTTGGACATTTGGGTTGTTTCTTCAGGATGTATTAATAGATGTAATAATAGAATTGTATCATTAAATATACGTCAGAGCACATTGTAAGTATACTTGCGTGCTCTGTGTGCAAACAGGCGTGGGATACGTAATTCTTAATTGCGTATTAGTCTAATTTGAAAAAGCATCAAGTTCAATAAATCTACTTGGCTTACAGCATTTTTATGTCCTCAGCTACTCAGGAAATTAGATGAATGTGTAAAATACCCAGTCAATTCTAGTTGTCAGGGAAGAAAAAAACCAAAACCAACTTGCAAACAATACTGTCCTCTCAGCTGCACACCAGGAGGCCTGGGGTGCAGAAATGACAGAACAGATGTAATGTCAGTACCTTCCTCCTATCTTTTCCACATGCTGGAGTAAACAACTGTACAAGTCGTTGGTCTTGCGGTTCAGCTCAGCAAGGAGCTCACCGAAGTAGCGGCAGTCCAGCTGGTCACTGTTTTCCTGAGAGCAATTCACCTGGCAGAAGGTATGCAAGAAGGTCATAATTGAGATCCCTTCTTCAGGGTGAAAGCTGAACACAAAAATGCTACAAGTAGGATGGATGTGGTTTTGTTTGCTCTTACTAATTTGCAATTTGTTTACGCTGTTCTTTTCCTTGGTATTGAGTCTTCCATGTCTTCTGGTTGTCAGTGAACTATATATAAGTAAATTACTTCCTTCACAACAAGAAGAAATACATAAAGTAGAAGGTTCTACAGCAATATCATCATTGCACGAATATGGCAACCGTTGAGAATTAGGAAATCTCATTAACAGATGTGGTTCTGTAGGGGTAGTGGATAAAACACCTGTGGGCAGCACCCAGATAAAACCAGCTGGGTGCAAGACTCCCCACTGCAGAAATGGTATTTGAGTTGCCACAGTTCAAACATTTACGTATGTGAACAATGCAAACCCACGTGTGTTCATGGAGTATCTGGCTACGGAAGGTTCCGCGTAGGTCTGACCCTGAGATCAGCACATCTGTTTGTCTTGCCACCTACACACGGAACAGAGGCACAGGACGGGCGGCCACATGCCCTCCCTCAGCTCAGATCGTAGTATCCACGCACGACAAACCTCCTGCAGCAGCCTGCTGTAAAATGAAGGGCAAAGGAAGCTGGGTTTGTGCTTCCAGTGAATCTCTGTCAAATGCTTCTACATCAAACCGAAATATATTGGAAGTCCTTATTGATCAGTTTAGGTAGAAAGCAATCCTGAATTGACGTATGTCAGGTTTATAAAGGAATGTATCTTTTCTCCAAAACTAGAGGCATAAACCTGACATTACTCAGTTGTACAAAGACTGACAGATGAAACCTGACTCAATCACTGGTAACACTCGCAGATAAAGAAAAAAACCCCAAACAAACCAGCCAGACCTAACACGTCTAAAGAGCAGCAGGAGGATGATCAGTCAGTACACCTAAGCGCAGGTCTATACCAACAAGAAATAGGATACAACACCTAAAGCAGGTTGGTTTGGGTTGTTGTCTTAACAGCATGTGAGAAACAGTTCTAGGCAACGTCTGCAGTCACAGCCTGTGAAGTTCCCTGCCACAGACACACAGACTCTGCTGTTCACTTACAAGTGTATGGTGCTTAATTACCCTGCTGTGAGTTTGAACAAAGGCTTTTGAGACTGGCGATCAGCAATTTTATCTGTATGTACAGTTTTGTGCTCTGCATACAAAACAAAACCTGACTGAATTGTATGGTTCTTACCGGTTCACAGGTTTGAACTGTTACCCTCCTCACTGTATTTCCTCTGCAGTCATCGCTCACGGAGACTGGAATTATTTCACAAGGGCTACTGGTCTGGGTCTGTTGGCACTGGTGAGTGACTTGAGGCTGCTCGGAGTGCTGGACCACATGGCACTGATCGACCTGCTGGGGAACCTGACACTGCTGGGAAAACTGATACTGCTTCTCCTAGAAACAAGAATAGAGTTTTTTAAGCTGCTGGACACAACGAGATGGAAGCTTAATATGACTATAGAAATGAATGAAATGTGATTTTGCGTGGAAAGACTGATGAAGGTTTCAGGTATTTTAATAATCCTAATAAAATAGCTTTTTTTTTTTAACTGAACATGAGTTTGTCTCACGCTTTCATACTTCAACGTTCTAAGTCATCAACTCCTCACATTTTAGTAGCTCCAAATGAAAAGCACAAAAGGCACCTACTTTTCCCAAGTTTTAGGTTCCATGATGTTGTCACTCTTAATGTACTCGGGCAATGGGGACCTCTGTTATTTCATTTAAAACACATGCAAATCCTGTTTCATTAAGCGTTTTAGAGATTAAAAAAGAGCTCCAGTTGAACTACTGAGTTTTCGTTATTTCAGAAAAAAAATTAGTATAGGAAAGGGCTCGAGACATTTTCCTCTATAAATGCTTTCAGCAGTTCCAGATTCAGTGTACGATACAGAAGGGACACATGCCTCTTAGAAAAGTGAGGTTTATAAAACCACCTACCAGAACAATAAACTAGAAACTAGTTTGTGTTCCAGCCAAAACACTGAAAATTCCTGATTTCAGCAAACTTAATTGTTGGTCTCAATCATGGTTTTCACACATTTACTTCAAAACACAGATATTTTGTATTCTGTGTCCAACCATATAAATGCAAATCCTTCGGATGATTCTGACTTAAAACTAACACTGCAGTTACATTTAACAGGTTGGACCAAGCCCTAATTCTGCCCCGAAATCAGAACACGCAGCCTGCGCTGCATCCGCATCACACAGTGGCAGCGGGGGAGCAGAGCGGGGCCCCAACACCGACCCCCTCCGGATCCGAGGGGGCTTCACCGGGGGTTGGAAGGGGCTCCACGCCCGGCAGCAGTCGGAGCACACCAGGTGCACACTTGCAACACACTTTCATTTCACCTGAAAGAAATCTAGCTTGCATGGTCCAAGACCACAGTGCAGTGTGAACCAAAGAGTGATGTGTGGTAGGAGACCGGGAAGTTTTCAAAACTACACTGCTGATTTGACTTAAAACTAGCTACACCCTGGGTAAAAAAACAAAACAAAGCCAACAAACAAAACAGAAGTAGAAATACGGTTTTCAGGACTAGACTCCACACTTTATTATTTTCTTTGAACACCATCTGTGGAAAGAAAGAAGCTATTATTCATAATTACCTCTTTCTTTTTTTCCTCTTTCCACTTCAGAGAATAGATATCACACCTAATTTATCTATCTAAAATCCAGAATGGCATGAAAACTTCAGTTTTAAAAAGCAAACCAAAAAACAGGTAAGTCATTCTGAAATACCCTTCATTTCAAATTTTTTCCTGTTGAAAATAAGCGTTTCAGAGCCATAAAAAAGTAAGATTTTTGCTATTGACAATACACCAATTCTAAGATGAAATTTCAGACAGCTTTGCCAAATACATTTTTTCAAGAATGAGTAAGAAAAAATTGTCTTTTCAATTCACTTTTTGTAAAAATTTTTATTGGTTGTTCTGTTGTGGAGTTAACTGCAAGAAACTAATTCTCAGTCAATATTCAGATAAAGACTGAAAAGGTCTAGAGCTAAACCAGCAGTTCCTATTGTTAGTCTGAAATAATAAATTCTTAGTAAAAATATATCAAGTGTTCCAGCTTCTCCTCTCCTCACATATAGAAATTATTTCATTTACTCTGAGAATGTCCTGTACCTCAACAGGCAATTCTCAGGTTGGCAGTAGTTCAGTTCTGTCGTCCCCCCCACAACTCAGAAACATTAAATTTCTGCTACCCCCTCAATTTTCTTTTAATACAAACAACCAACTTACTTGGTGGGGATTTAATAGCTCATATTTCCTTATTGTCTTTTCATAGATGACATTATTTCCAGGACAGAAATTCCCCCCTCTAAGAAATGGGGATAAAGGCTCCTGTAAAACATTTTAATAAAAACTCTCTTAAATGTTGTCAAACAGTAAATTCAGAAATACTGTATTTTTGACTAAAAAATGGTAAGGGATTTTTTTGTAATGTGATGACACCTATACTTCGAGATAGTTCTTTAAGATATGTACATTTATGTCCATTTGGAAACAAAGCGACTGTGCTTCCCTCTAGACAATATTTGAAATAAACATAGTAAGAGAGCGTTAGAAATTAATCTCCACCAGCAATACTCACGAAGCACATTGCCAGAGACTTAACTGCTGAGAGGTGGGAAGCCCGACTGGCGGTTCTGGAGTATTTTCAATCCCCAGCCATTTCATCTCTCACCATCAGAGGTACAGCCATGAGATTTCTAAACACTGAGCATCCCCCGCTGGAGGTACTCGAGCACTTCACCAGATCTGGGTCATTAAGGGCGGAAGAGTTACACAAGCACTGAACATTTTCCTACCTGATCAGGATTCTCGATGATGATCCTTCGAACAGTGCCCTGCAAGAACAAAATAAGCAAAGATTCAGTGATTACTGTCCTTTAAACTTTTAAAACCTTTTATGCTCAGAGCTCAGGCTTACATGGATGCCCAAAGTAATCTGAATAGTCATCAGCTATAAACACACAGAGATTGACTTGGCCACAGTCACCTAGGGATGTTTTAAAGCTGGGGCCTTTCCACCCCAGAGGGAACAACCCAGACACAGCGTGGCAGTACGCGACCTGTAACTCTCAGTTTTAAGAGTTTGCTTTTCCTCCACCACTTCTTGCAGGTCTGAGGGAATTGTCCTTGTTTTCTGTACGTGCCAACAGAATAGGATACACATCAAAGTGGACATACGGGGCTCAGTCTTCAAGGATCACATGTCCCTGTTCCACAGACAGTCTTTTACTTATGGTCTTTCATGTTACATATCAAGGTCAGATGTAAATAGCTACACCTCTGGAACACTTCTTGTTTCACCAAGGGAAGAAAATTTGGATTTTGCTTAAACACCGAAAGGAAAGGGCAGACAAACTGCCAACAATCCACATCAGGTCACTATCCAATGCACCAAGCAGTGGCAACTATTTCAAAAAGCGGTCACAAAACTCTGTAATTGACACCTGATGCCACAGGGGACGTACTTTAATTAAAAATGCCTTTTTAAATTACAGAAATCTGTAAATGGCAGCAGTTTTATTGGTTTTAAAATAGATTTTTTCACTTTTTTCCCCCAGCACTGTCCACAAGCAATCGCAGACACTGGCTTCCATTTTGTGGAGCACCACCAGTTATAACAAATTGTTCACGTTGCCTGAAATCTCCACATCTAGTTCTTTATCCAAGTAAGCAAAATTCCCACTGAATCTAAGGATTGGGCAATTGGATAGTTTACAACATAGTATTTATTCTTCCTCACAGTACAAACTTCCAGTTTTCTTAACAAATCATTTCTTCCCTTAACCTGTGGGCAGTGCTTGGGAAGTTTATATTGCCGCAGTTCAGTCTCAGAGACATTCTTAACTGGGTAAGAGCAGCTCTCAAGTAGGTCAGATTTCCAGCTGCAAACTGTTGCATAAGTTTAGGAAGCCTGAAGCAGTTTTCCAGATCTCCCAAGAGTGAATCATAACAGTACCAGGAAAGAGAAACCAAAGTAATAAAGAAATTGTTTTAGCGGTTATCATCATAATTAAGAAATCTCAAAATTATAACTGCTGCAGAAATCTTAGAAAGCTGATTTACTCCTCCTCCCAGACGTGTGCTTGAGGTAGGTCCGTCAAGGAAGGGAAGTCACCAATCCCAACAGAACTATGTATTGGGGGTGTAACACCGAAAAGAGACAATATGAACATCTAGAACACACAGCCCAATTCCCGCATCACGCTGACACCTACAGAATTTGAACTAAAAAGTAAAATACTTTAAAAACGAATGCCCACAGGAACGTCCTTCACACCCGTTTGAGAGGTGGCATACCCCTGTGTCCCAGCACCTCCTCGCACCGCTGGCTCTGCCCGTCCCGGAGCCCTCCGGTGCTACGACAATCCACAGCAGAGCAGAACTGCTCTGAGTCAGAGCTGACTACCATTGTACGGCACCCGAAAACGAGCTGAGCATTGCGCATGAAATTAGAAGACACCTTTTCAATTTACTGAAAAGTTGGGACAAACCTGCCTGAACTAAATCATGTTGCCACAGGGCTCTGGAATACATAACTCGCGCTGCCTAGCTGAGAGAGGATAATGCGTAAAATTATTTTATCTAGCTACCTACATGTTTCAGAGGAATACGTTCCGAACTGAGAAGACTAGAGCATTTTAAGTTGAAGTATCTTTTTACAGGATTCAAAAGGACGGTCTAATCCTATGTGGAATACTATACAGAACCTAAGAATGTTTTGCTTGGATAAAATTATGTTTATTTTTAGGATACTCAAACTCTTTCATTTCCAGAGACCTTTGATGCAGATACGTTTCCCTCTCTCCTCTACAAACAGGGATTTGCCTGCCCTTCCTCCCATACTCGCCGAGCAGGCTGGACTTGCAACAGGCTGGGAATGCAGAAGCCAGAAAGTCCGTGACTCTGTGCCAGCCCGGACTCCCCGCACCAGGAGATGCCACCTCCAAGGCCTCAGCAGCGCGAGTGCCGCAGGAGGTACACTGCCACTGGCCTCAGGCTATTTCCATTTTTCCGTCATTCCCAAGGGGCACAGCTCAGGCTACTCTCCAATTTCCTACCATGCTTTGGAGATGCAATGTTTTGTAACCGAGAGAAGGAAGAGGAGGGTGGGATTTTAAAGGGGAGAGCCCAGCGCTGTTGTGGGTTTGGGATTTATAACAGCCTGACCCGTCATTCTGGGTCTACATTTATAAGGACAGTTTCAAAAGGTATATGCTAACACTTTCATAATGACTGATGCTACTCTTTTAGATTTTTAAATAAGATTTTAAAATTTTAAAATCAGCATCTGATACATTTATCCAGTTATCCTGTGCAAATTTTATGCTAAAAACAATCAGTACACTAACTTTTATTTCAACAGGTTCCTCCTAGCTTCAGCCAAACCAGCGATTAAGGTGAGAATTTAATCTGTGTCAAAACCCTTTCTCCATAAAGTATTGTCTTGTTAATTACAAGTAATCCAGTCATCTAATCAGAATTTATGTGTTACATTTGGCAGCTGAAATACGGAAATGGCAAGCTACGTTTGAGGGCTGTTTCAAACAATACAGACACATCTTACAAGCTGGTTAATATTACACCATGTTCACAAGGGTAGGTGAGAGCCCTGAGCACATCACAGAACTGAGCCCAGGCATGAAAAGATCTGACAGAATTTCTCACATGGATAGAAAGCTCCTACAAAGGCTTCCAGGATTCTGCCCTCTGCACTGACAGCAGACATCTTGAGTGTGCCATTTCATATATATTTTTTTCACGGCCACGGTGAGAGGGTTCATACGTGTAAGCCATACTGGAAGAAAATTTATTCAAAACAACATTCTTCATTTAGATCAAGCAGACGAGAGCAAAATTTGCCATGAATTACTCCAGATGAAGCTTGCCATGGCATCAAGGATAAAACAAAGTTAAACCAAAAAAGTAAAGTGAATCCCGAAGCACAAAAAGCAGTCATGTGTGCTATATGCACACACCAGTTTCAAATTTTCCCTCCAACTCATTAAAAACGTACATAAACACACTAACCATGTGACTAAATAGTAAGACTGCATATCAACGGTGATGTAGACATCTGTTATCATAAATCTACAAAAGCTCTGCAGAAGTAAATTAAATATTGCTCAGAGATAGCCCTTTGACTTATCAACAGTTTAAACTACAGCTCTAGGCTGCCATTAACTGAAAATTGTAGTGGTAAGTTAAAACATCTATGCGAGTCAGGTATCACATCATTATTCAGTTTACACAGCTACATATGATCTGCTCAAAGGGCAACTGAATCAACTCTTTGAAAACTTCCTACACTCTTCCCAGCACTTCTGACAACTCCCATTCAGCACCAAGTACACAACTTCTGTGTACTCCCAGCCACCTTCCCCATTTGTTACTGTTTTCTTCTTTAATAACTTGCTAATAATCTTTATCAAACACCTTCCCTCTCCACCATTAAAACTGCAACCCACACATAGCCTGATCTGAACTACACCCTCTTTTGTCTTTAAAGTCTAATCCAGCAAAACACTTCAGCAAGAAATTATTTTTCATCAGCAAGACTTAATGGATTCAGTGACTAAAACAGATGTTGACAATGAAACATAGTTCGTAGAACAGAGACAGCATTTGAGTCTATGATCAAATTGTTCACATACTTATCTGAGTAGAGGAAGCCTGGGACTGCAGTATTTATTCTAATGAATATTTAGTTAATTGAACGCAATTCAGACTATCATCTAGCCTAGTTGAGCAGATCACTTATCTGGGAGGTGAGAGACCAGTGTTTACACTCCTGCCCTTGCAAAAGAGGGATTAACCACTTTGGTAGGACAGAATGTGTCATCCTATCCAAGTCACATAAAGTTGTTAGCGAAGCCACTCTACAGAATTTACAAAAGCCATCCTGCAGAGGCAAGCAGCCCTCGGACTATGCAAATACAGCTCTGAAAGGAAGTCAGACGTTGTATTGGTCTTAATCCCTACTCTTTTTCATAGTTAAATATTTTTATACCACTGAAGATTAAGTGTGAACCTGAAACAAATACAGGTTGCCATACTGAGTACAGCACACCAGTCCCACTTGTATCATGACAGTTTAATGTGTAAGACACACAAATGGTGAAGAAATTCTGACCCGCTCTTCCGTATTTATAATCAAAGCTGTTCTTAAGTCACTGGTTTCTAGTTTTGGTTTTAAGGTTTACTTAAGATATCAACGGTGTATATTTATATTTAATTCCATCAACACCTTCAAGCCATTCCCTGAATATACACAGAGCAACGAACCAGCTAAACTACATTGTGAAGGCTTTTAAAGCAAAGTTAAACGAGCTCCGTCACTTCCCTACCCGCTGACTCGCGTACGTTATTAGCCTCAGATTCAAACAGAAGGGGGACGCACCCCCCCCTTTATGTTATATTTACAGGAGCAGCACCAAGAAAGCACAAGTGTTTGTGTGGACATCCCATGGGTGGGAACCACAGCGCTCAGCCTGCAGGAGCTGTGCACTTTTTACTGTTCCATCGACAAAATGGGCAAAAATACGGCAACAGAGTAAGGTATTTAGAAGATCAAGTTAAAACACCAAGAAAAACCCCGACCAAACAACTCAAAAGAAAAAAAGGCAAACTGGCTTGCCAAACAGGAATCAAATGTGGGATTGACCGATCTATTCGAACTCGAATAAAAAGGAGAAATGTCAAGGGAAATTTTAATTGTAATTGCTGTGTGTTCAGAGGGGCCGCTGAGGCGGTGAGCCGCCGGTGCCCAGGGGCGCCCCTTCCCGCCCTTCGCTGCCCCCTCACAGCCCCCCGCTAACAGATTAAATACATCTGTTTC